GAATGCTTGATTCCGTATTAGTAACTATGTTTTACAATTGTTGTAAAAGTGTGCTAATAAGAAGTAGAAGATTAAATGAGAGAAGAGAAAGTACTTCACATTCGGAAAGTGAATAAAATATAGATCTCTGCGAAAGCGGATTGTACTTACTTCCTCATATGAACTACCAAAGAAATTGGAAAATACTAAAGATTGTCTTTACATTCCAATTTTAAGGAACTTAAATCCGTCACTATAGTAGAGATGGATAAATGTTTTGTTTGACAAAAACATTGTTCTTTATTAATCAATAAATTAGATTATTGTAATTTAATTGGTTGTCTCTATAGTAGAGATGATGTGGTAGTTTAACTGTTTAGAATACGATGATGCTTAAAACCCAAAAGGTTACAAGGTAGTGACTAATCCCAACTGAGTTGTGATACCTCTAAAACATAAGTTACGAGTTGGTCATAGATGGATGCTTTGGAGCGTTAGATCCGGATCCAATACCTTCTTGTTAAAATTGTATAGAGGCGAAATGTTCGAATCTTTATTCTTTTGGAAAGAAGAAAGAATCACAAAGTTGTTGAGGTTTATTCACTTAGATGTTAGTGGCACTTGTCCACAACATAATACTACTCATGTTGTATGACATTCACCGAAGATCACTCTCGGTTGGACTATAGTTTATTTTGAATAAACACAAGTCCGAATACTTTGCAAAAGGTTTCAAAGAATTCAAGAAATGTAAGTAGATGAGTAAGACGTCTAAAGTATTTACCTCCTTAGATTTGATCCAAGGAAAAAGTAACACTTTAGATTAATTTCCTTGAAAAACATCAAGGAAAGTAGCATCATAAGATAATGAATTTCTCCATTAGGAGAAGAATGAACATAAATAAGATTTAGTTCGTTGGACATTATCAATTACCCATATATATATGATATATACTTCTAAGACATGTTAGTTGTAAGAAGATCCATCCATCATGGATCTTAGCAAGCTAGTGGGAGCTATAAGCGTCTTATGAGAAAAGATCAATTGTTTGATTTCTCATAAAGATGTAAATGAATCTTTTGTTTACTAGGTTTACAAAAGATTAGTGGGAGTTGATCATATTCCTAAATTAGAATATATATATATACATGATATATATTAATTTTGAAAATGAAAGGAATTCTTCATCGTTAAAGTTATGACTTTAAACATTCTATAATGATAGAATGTATATGGGAGACATAGTCTATATACATGGGATGGAAATCTATAATGATAGATTTCAAGATATAATTGGATTATATCAATCCCTAAAATAGACAATGAGATGCTAGGAAGTTTCTCATATGATGATAAACTTCAATTAGAATGACAATTCTAGTGAGACTAGGAAGTTGTTCTTCTCAAAGGGAATGTACCCTTTGACTCCCAAAGAAATAATGCGTAAATAGAATCCTTTATGCATACGCAGAAAGGTGATTTATGTATTTCATATTGTATGAAAACATTGATATAAGTCGTACCTAGAACGGTACAAGATGATATCAGTGCAAGCCCAGGATCAGAACCATGGCAACTGTCAAGTGAATCCTTTGGTATTTAAGAAATACTAAGGATGGATTCCTCAAGAATGAGGAAGAATTAGAGTAACGTAATGGAAGCGTAAATGTATTAGATTATGAATCTAATCCATCATAGAATATCTCTTCATTATGAATGAAGTGATAATGAGATATCTCTTTATTATGACTAAAGAGATTTTTGGGTGGAAACGTTAAAAGTAAATGACTTTAATGTGTTCCATCATGTATGCAAAATATATTGCCATATAGAAGCTTACAACATTGTTGTTTGGATGGGAAAGTTCATTCATGAACTCTCCATTCGGTTCCAACCAGAAAGTGTATGACACTAATGGGGCGATAGCTCAAGCCAGGGAATCAAGGTCTCATCAAGGTCCGAACTCAAATGAGAGACTGAACCACATGATTGAGAATCATGTATAATGGTGACGTCGTTATTCTCAAGGTTGCTTCTATGGATAACATATAGATATCCATTGTTTAGGCCTACTACTCAGCCATTTATGAAATGAATTACAGAAGAGGTATCATCAATGATGACTAAGCTGATTGGCTCTAGTGCAAGTGGGAGATTGTTGGAAATGTGCCCTAAAACCAATCATATGATGATACTTTACGGACATTTCAAACTAATGTAGTTTAAAGGGCAAAGATTATTGTTTGAGCCGTCTAATATAAATGTTATATGCTTAAACGATAAGTCCAAGGAATATGTGATTGGAAGAATGCGATCTAAAGAAGTTAGATTCATGAGACCATTCTTTCGTTGACACATCCTAAACGTTCCTGATCATAGGATTGTCAATTGGGCATTAACAGTCCGTTAAGATCAGTACGTGCTATGTCTTCTCTCAGGGAGAGTGACTAGTCTCGAGTCATTGGTGTGTGTGACATCAAGACAAGTACGTAGGTGCTCAATAGAGAATGAGTTCACTGAACACGATCAACGAAGAGTTCTCATATTCATGTCACATGAGAACTCATGGTTGGGATAATGCAAATTAGTCTTTTGACCTGAGGCATCACAGTTGTCTTGTGGTTAGGTCCTTAATCTTTGATTATGTCAAAGTCACTCTATCAGGGTGTCCACGGCATCGTCGGGGTTAAGCCACTTAGCCATGGAGGCAAGTGAATGCGCAACAAGGGATCTCTAACCTTCAAACTGTTTGAGGGAGAATACTCTATGATATGATTTGGAATCTCTGGCCAGAGTATGAATGAGATGTTGGAATGCGTTCCAGATCACATTCAAGGTAATCATATAAGTACAAAGATTCACATTGGATAGTAGACATGAATAAACTATCAAACCAAACAATGTGGTCAAGAGTATTGTATTAGAGAAAGACCGTATTGCATTTGTAATCCTAAACTGAATAGGTTCTCCACCTCTTCTGATTAGCTTGGGTAACCATGATATGCTGCTAGGTGTCACTCATGGTTTGTGGAAGCCCTAAAAGTGTATTATCACTAACGGGAGAATTGAAAGTAAGTTTCAATTCACAATCGATTTGAAAGAGTTTGAATCGCCCACTGCCTCGCTAAAAGGAACCTAATGGATCGTACACCGTGTAAGGTAGAGTTTGAAGATTCAACGGAGATGAGTAAGAATAATTAAATGGTTTAATTATTTATGGCAAGGATTAATTAATATGTTAATTAATCAAACGAATAAGTTCGTTAAAGACCTCGGGTTAGTTTTGGGCCGCAAGGCCCAATGGGATTTGAATGTCAAAGCCCATTAACTCAAGTTGTATGACAACTTGAATAAAACAAAGGGCTTGAAAGCCCAATAAACCTATAGGCTAGCCATGTGTAAAAGAATAGGGCTTTTGGTCCATTAGGTCACTTATTTGAAGGGACTATATAAAGGACTTTATAGCCTAAAATTTACTAAGGGTTATTTTTGGGGAAAAGGATGAGAACACAAGCTCTCCTTTCTCTCTAAAATTTTGGCCAATCTAGAGGGGAAAATCTAGCAATCTTACTTCCTCTAGGTCACTCATTTCTTCTTCAATATACCTTGGTGTGGAGACTTAGAGGTTCTCAATTTTGGGAACTTGGAGAAACCTTTTCATCCATCCAAATCCATGGATCCAAGATGCAAGGAATGAAGGCCCTCTCTTTGGGTGATTAGCCTTTGCTTATGCAAAGAGGAATCTACAAAGGTATTGATTTCTCAACTCACTTTGTTTTGAGTTGAGTCTTGATTCACCTATCTACTAGGCTTTGAATTTCATGGGTAAATGTTTTGTTTTAAGTGCATACAAGCATGATTCCGCCTTTAATTGTTAATTGCATGCTATTGATGTTGCTTAAATGAACATGTTTTTCACAAATTTTCCTTCACTTAACCCATCCACGACAATCCTTTGATGATAAGAAGTCAGAATAACTTGGGGTGCAAGTAATCGACTTAAATACACTCATTCTACATTTGCCATACAAAGATGGCAGTGGCACGCCTCAGCACTTAGTTGGTTTTGATTACGAGCCTCAAGACCTACACCTAAGGCTTGACAAAGGCACCTTTCAAAACTAACTTTGTCCTCTTCTTGCAGCCCGACAGGCAACCAAAGTGCCAACTCCTCGGGGAGCTGTGCGCTCGAGCCAAGGACTCTTCCCAACGAAATTCCTGCCCGAACAAGAATGTCATGTAATCCAGAGTAATAATCGGGGCCCTTACTCTTTCACTGATAGTCGGCCTATTAGCTTGGTAAAGTGCGCCCAGGTTCACTTATATGACAGCATTGAGGAGAGGATTTAGCCGGCAGATTTCTTGAAAGTAGAACTCAACAAGTTTGCTTGAAGTGAGTTGGTTGTTTTTGAAAGCTTGTTGGAGGTCAAATATTGTAGCTTCTTTGATATAGAATCCATGGACTTTGAAAGTTAGGGAACCAAATGAAGTTATAGCCAGAAGAATCAAAAGAAACAATGGAAAGAGAGAAAGTTTTGAGGCCATGGAAAAACAATGTAGTAGCTGATTTGATGAAACAATTGTACTTGCCTAATTTTTTGGTCTAGAAGTTAAATAAACAAAAACTCTGGACCAACTGGCAATTCATAATCTCAACCAGGCATGGTCTATTTGCTTAGTTCAAATAAGAGTATGATCCACGGAGGATGCTGCTTGGCTGCTTATGTGCAAATCAGTCCGACGCGTGTACATGTAACTCACTTGAAGCAAAAAAAATTATTTGAGCATATCAAACTGTAATTTATCTGCAAGAAGAAAAGGCTCCCGAGTATTTTCCCACTTGGGATTAAATTTTAGCATTTTTCTTTGATGTAGAAACTTGTGTGTGACCATTTCGTACCCCGGCAGTCCCAGACCGAGTAAATATAACTTCTACTGCATAATTGCTTGTATTTGGGATAATCGGGGTTTTAATGATACAACCATATCAATACAACCTGCAAAACCATACACTCACAGGTGCTAATGACACATTATTTATTCACCAGAAGCATAATTGTTTTTCCGTTCGATATACAGGATTTGAACCTACAATCTACAACCTTTCCACACAACAACAATCACAGTAGACTTGACTTCTTAGATTAGCGGCATAATTAAACTGCTTCTTCTTAAAACTGCCCCAAGTATCCTTCTAGAGAACTTCATGTCGACTGCTGTCATGCAAGCGCTTTCCTTGGAGGTTCTCTTGAGTGACTAGGATGGGTCTTCTTTTGGCTGCAGCAATGGTGGGTATTGATGACTCAACTTCAGGCGTGGGAGTAGCGGTGGTAGAGAGGAGTTGGCCTTGAGAACCAACGGGCGGAGGCTTTCTGATCTTAGTTGCTTGCTCAAATGCATACGCAACCTCAATCAGCTTTGGCTCCGAACCCTTTAGTCCCCCAAAGCAAATGCCGAAAGGGTACTTGTCATCGTTATGATATCCTGCCGGCACAACAATGCCTGGAAAACTACCAATTCCAAGGATTGAATGAGCAGAGTTGGAATAAGTCACCAGCGCGTCTAGGTTCTCATCTTTCATCAACTTCTCGAATCCATCTCTGGACAGTCTTGCTAAATTTGACAATATTTCTTGCTCTTTTGCTCCTATACCGTTAGTCTTCTCAGCAGCTTCTAAGAGATCTTGTCCATATTCATTCATCTTTTCCTGTAGGTGACCATTAAGTTTTGTTCACCGTTCGTTTGTGGTTATTGAATGCATCTAATTTAAACTTGTATGCCACACAATATTTTGGAATAACAAAATGACAAAGACATGAATACATAAACAGAGTCTTGTACTCACTACTCAGACACTCACCAAAACTGAGTTGTTCTTGTTGAATGCTATCACATCTCTCAAGGTTCTCACCGGAGATTCAACTAGTTCACTTAGGTATGGGTTCAAGGCCATTTTGAATTCCGCTAACATTGCTACAAATTCACCACTCAAAGAATAATCGAGAATATCTTCAATGTTGGCTATCTCAAGATTTCCAACCAAAACTGCACCTTGTTTCCTACGTTGCAGCAAGGAATAGTATGTCATAATTATAGACTAGAAAGTGCACCGAAAAATGCATTCTGTTTATCTGTTACCTCAGTGTGGTAAAGTGCTGCTCAAAAGTTTGATTCAAGAAACAATCATCCTTGACTTCACGAAACAAGCGACTTACTATCCCCAATCTCTTTCCTTTGAGACCATTAGCCTTGAGAAACTGTCCATAGCCACCCACTGGGATGTACTGTGATGCTTCATGCGTTGCGATATCGTTGCTATCAATACCGACAATGGCATCCAGGACATGAACAGCATCAGCCACTGTTCTACAAATTGGCCTGTTCCAAGTTCCAAATGATCACTTTGTTACTCACACTTTTGAGCTAATCAGACAAACAGATGTTACAATTGATCAATTAATCCAAATTACCAAAACTTTCAGCAACGGAAAGTGTCAATGCATGATCACATAAAGAAACAGAAAAACTTCAGGCACAAAGTAAATTTGTTCGATAACAATAAGCACATCACGTACCCAACTGTGTCCTGTCTCGGACTCACTGGGATGACTCCAGCTCGACTAGTGAGACCAACGGTTGGCTTGAAGCCTACTACCGAGTTATAACTGGACGGACATAAGATGGAGCTGTCAGTCTCTGTCCCTAAAGCCACAGCTACCATATTTGCAGATACAGATATTGCTGGTCCACTACTTGATCCACAAACTTCCAGCGATGAATTATAAGGATTCTGCATATAGCAACAAAACCACACGTCTTTGATTCTGGTTCATGCCAAATTCATATACGAAATCCACAGACGAAGTAGAATTTAGTGAATGATTCATGCATACCACAACCAAATTTTGCAGTGCTTAAATGGCAATCACATTTACTGATCACAACACTTAAATGAAACACAGAAACGTTCTAAAGGTGATCACAACTCGGTGCAAACGCTAATTTAGCAAAACATCTCACCAGTTTTCGGGATCGTGAACAACTAACTATCAACTTGACAATGATCAAAACTCAAAACTTTATAATGCTACTGCATAGATATATCATATGTTAAAGTTTCAAAGACGGTTCAGTGGCCCCTACTAATCACACCGATACATAAAATTTAAGCAGCTGATAATCAAGTCTAAGTCGAACTCACCACACCCTGGCCGCCTCTGGCACTCCATCCGTACGGCGCGGAAAACGACCGGATATACGACCACTCGCTCAAGCTACCCTTCCCCAGAATCACAGCCCCAGAGCTCCTCAGCTTCGCCACAACCCCGGCATCCCTCGGAACTTTGGAACCCAACAGCGCAAAGGAGCCGACGGTGGTATTAAGTTTGTCCTTGGTGCCAATGTTGTCCTTGAGCAAAATGGGAATCCCGTGCAGCTTCGGCAGTGCTCTGGTTCTGGCTGATGGGTTTGATTCCCATTTCCGGCGTTGTTCGTCGGCGGAATCGGCTTGGGAAAGCGCATCTGGGTTCACCTCCAGGACCCCTCTAAGGTGGCTGTTGAGGGTTTGGATTCTGTCCAGGTAGAACTGAACCAGTTGCCGTGAAGTCAGAGTCTTGAGCTTGAAAGCGATCTGGAGGTCGTCAATGGTGGATTCTTCAATTGGGGTTTCGGACCCAGATGAGATTTTGGATTGAAGAATTAGAATAAGAAACGAGAGGAGAGAGAAAAGTCTCTGCCTTGAATTGGTGGTAGCCATGGAATTGATGAAAGCTAGAAATTGATGGGTTTTTTTGCCATTTAAACAAAGGTTGTTTGAAAGTCAATATTTTTGCGATTTCATTTGTTTATTGTTCCGCAGCAGGTTAAGTAATTTGCTGATGTCCCCAATTGCAAGCAATCTAATTGTCAGGAACAAAACTTTACGAACGTTATCAATTCATTGTCGACAATATTTTGACACCAAATTTGTTGTTTAACAAATGACCAACATCTTAGTAAGAGAGTTTCCGATGATCACAAAACTCCAGTTTATAATTATTTGGAAACCCGAAACCTGTGCTGAGATGTTGAACAGTTTGGAGTCGAGAAACTGTCATTGCGCATACTCAATAAGATTTGATGTCATATGATTTTCTAAGACAGAAATATTTACTAGCATATGAATTTTATCATTTCATTTTAATAGACGTCCCCCCCCAAGCAGGGAGCCTTCTTGTTTTGGGGTCGATTATATTTGACCAGTTTCTTGCAAGAGACTTCCTTGGGGGTGCTCTTGAGCGGCTAGGCCGAGTCTTTCTGTGGCTGCAGCGATGGTGGATGTCGCAGACTCAACTTGATCGGGAGCAGTAGGAGTGGTGGTACTTGAGATAAGTTGGTCTAGAAGCGGAGGCTTCCTGATCTTAGTTGCTTTCTCAAATGCATACGCGACCTCAATCAACGTTGGCTCCGAACCCTTTAGTCCCCCAAAGCAAATGCCAAAAGGGTAGTTTTCAGTGTCATGATATCCCGCTGGCACAACAATGCCCGGGAAACCACCAATTGCAAGGATAGAAGACGCACTGCTAGAATAGGTCACCAAGGCATCTAGTCTGTTATCTGTCATGAACTTCTCAAATCCATCTCTCGACAGTGTCGCTAACTTTGACAACAGTTTCTGCTCTTTTTCCCCTATTCCATTAGTCTTCTCGGATGCTTCGAAGAGCTCTTGTCCGTATTCATCGATTTTTTCCTGCGAATGACCATTCTTCCTTGTAAAACTTAAATGAGCCGTATATGTATGTATTAGCCCAAAAATTATCCACTAGACTGCCATATTTAGTTATCAACTGAACATGTAAAGCAAAGTCTACGACGAGAAATTGAAAGGAATAAACTGAGTCCTATTTGCTTACCAGTTTCAAGTTCTTCTTGTTGAAGGCAATCACGTCTGCCAAGGATCGCACCGGGGAATCCACCAAGTCATTAAGGTATCTGTTTAAGGATACTTTGAACTCAAATGACAACGCATGTTTGCCACTTGCACGGCAATTGACCTCATGAGCCATTTTCAAATTGTCTACCACAACAGCACCTGCTTTCCTAAATTGAATATATATAGTGTTATGTCATCAGATAGACCGATGTCTCGAGTTGAGATTAATACAAGAGTGGAAAGCTACTTACCTCAATGTGTTGACATGTTGTTCAAAAGTTTGGGTCAAGAAAGTATCATTTAAGTCATAGAATTTTTTCAATATCCCTAATCTCTTTCCTTTAAGTCCATCAAGTTTGAGAAACTGTGCGTAGCCACCGTCAGGGATGTACCGCAATGCCTCAGTTGTTGCAATATCGTTGATGTCAATGCCTGCGATTACATCAAGAACATAAGCAGCATCTGATACTGTCCTGCAAATAGGCCTGTTTAATCCAATACCAAGAAACAATGAGAAGAAAAGTAGTCATCCGACAATAAAAGGTATCCATTAATTTTACATAGGAGCATAGTGAAAAAGAATTGCCATTGATCACCACCTACCCAACTGAGTCCTGTCTTGAGGAGATTGGGACAACCCCTGCTCGACTAGTAAGACCGACTGTTGGTTTCATGCCAACTACTGAGTTAAAACTGGACGGACTTAAAATTGACCCATCTGTCTCAGTCCCCAGTGCCACCGATGCCAGATTTGCTGCCACCGATATTGCTGACCCACTGCTTGAGCCGCTAGGCGTCACCTCAATATTGTAAGGATTCTACACTCCACGTAAATGGTTTAGTCTGTTGATTTTATTCTTGTCTGGTCTAAATTATAGAAATGCTTTCACACCACATTACTATGTTATATTATCAAACCGTCAATCTCGACCATTAACCAAGCGGACTCTTGTTTGAATTTGAATGTACTTTTCATATTGAAAGGTGTAACATAACATAGCGGGCATCTAGCAAGAGAACTTAACAGTAAAATTTAAGCAAACAAATTAAAGTGAAGGTATTCTATATAAGAGGGAATTAAGGATCCTCAACTCACCCGCCCTAGGCCGCCTCTGGCACTCCAACCGCTAGGAGCACAATTGGACCTCCAATTCGACCACTCACTCAAGCTGGCCTTTCCCAGTATGATAGCTCCGGCATTCCTCAGCTTGGTGACAACGCCTGCATCACGCGGCACAACTGAGCCAACCAAAGCATAAGAGCCAGATGTGGTGTTCAACTTGTCCTTGGTTGCAATGTTGTCCTTGACAAGAATGGGAATGCCATGTAACTTGGAGAGTGTTGCGGACGGCGCCTTAGTCTTGCGCTCATAGTCAGCCTTATCAGCAAGGTCAAGCGCATCCGGGTTCACTTCTATGACCGCCTTAAGGAAAGGGTTGAGTCTACTGATTTCAGAAAGGTAAAATTGGACAAGTTGCCTTGAGGTGAGTTGGTTGTGCTCAAAAGCGAGTTGGAGATCGTCTATGGTGGCTTCCTTGATTGAGAATCCATGGACTGTAGTTGCTTGTGTCCCGAGCGACACTATAAAGAGAAGAACCAGAAATAAGGATGAAGTGTGGGGGAGGTTTTGTACATGATGCTACTAGTTTACATGTCTTGAATAATATAGGTTGAAGACAGATGATGTTCATGAACCTAGAACACATAAATAGAATGTCACGTGATGATCTAACAGTCACACTAAAGAATTCTTCCAAACTAGATAAGATTTTACCTGACATTGTTGAGAGGGTAATGCTAGAAAGACCAAAATTTTAAACGAAATAATATGTCACCAATAGAAAATAAACACGTTAAGTAATAATCTATCATCAACAACCACATAATTTTGTTAAAAAAATGTAGTCTCCCTAGTGAGATATGGACGACGTTACACGATATTTTTGAAATTTCCTGATATCAGCAAACACACCCAGAAGAAAGACAGAAGAATGCTTAAAATCTAAAATAATTTATAGTTTTTAAAAAGAACGAATATAACTACATTACTTAATACTCATTAGTTTCAAAAACAGAAAAAATTGGATAAGAAGAATACCAAGCAGGCTAATTTGTGAAGGTATTCATCCAAAAGCCAGGAAAAAGATGCAAATTGAAACCAAACAATCTGTAATTTAAGTCTAATGCAAACCAAATTAAGACAAAAGTAATCAAACTAAAAACCCAGTTAAATCTAAATTGAATCGAACAAACAAAATCGAACTCACCTCCACCCGTCAAGGGAAAGTCATCCCCAGCTGCCATTGACACACTACCTCACCTTCTCTCCTCTGTCTGGTGCTATATGCTTTCGAGGCTTATGGGAATGGAGTCGTATAATTCATTATATTTTCAACTTTATTTTTGTACTGCTGCATTTTTTCGGTCAAAATTTTTTATATTAATTTTGACATGGTTAAGTTATGGTAGTGTTTTATATTAATTTTTATATAAAGATAATAAGACGAAAAATAATGGGTAAGAAAAGAGAATTGAAAGGAATAAGAATTAGAGGGTAAAGAATCTTTCTCCAAATTTACATGCTGCTTGGTGTTACATTTTATGGTCTGCCTGCCTTCTTTAATCTTTTGCTTTTGTTGCTAACATAAATTAAGATATCATATATTTGTTGTGTGGTTATGACAGGCAGCGGTCTGAGTTTATTTACCCCTAACCATTTAAATTTTTACCTGTACAAGCTTTATTCATTGGATAATTAAATAAACAAATATATCTATAACTATTTATAAACGGTTGTTCATAATCGTGTATGCATTTAGCCGTAACCGCATACCTATTTATTTTTTTTAACAAGTTAAAAAATAAAAAAGAAATTTGTTATAATTTTCTTTTCTTGACAATTAAAAGTCGTTATTTGTACATTTAACATGCATTTTTCTATTTCAATCTTTTAAGTCCTTATACCATTTCGGGAATTGAAATAATAATTTATTGACGATATTTTTTGCTATTATCAATGAAGGTAAAAGAATATATTTGTCAAGAATTGATCGGGGTACTAACAAAAGGCCACTCATTACTTGACCAAGTAAATTCAAATTTCATAATAGTATTTCCTTTTACAAACTCATGTATATTGGAAAGAAAATTTATGCATTTTCAACATACTTTTCCTCCATACACAAGCAAGTCTTCAATTATAACATCTAGACCAATAGTAAAATAAAACAAATTGAATTTGTTGGTTGGTTCTACTTAGGTTTTTTTACCCTGCATAAGATGATTGTACTGAATTTGTCGCAGTGGCTTGAATTTAGTTTAAAAGGATCAGTTTGCATTATTTTAAATTTGAAAGTCATTGGTCTATCATTCATCAAGATCTTCTACAACGAATGACTTCTGTATCAGACGCTATTAACAATGGAATCACATAAAACTCAACATGAGCTATTACTTGCTGCTGCAACCCTAGCCGCCACTTCATGCTGAAAGAACGAGCATGATAGGATCAGACATGGTAACAAGGAAATTGCAAGAAAGTAAATGCAGAAAATGGAAAAGAAATCAAAGTAAATTCATATTTTCATTCATAGTACTCTTTACATCAGAAAAAGTGTTTAAATACACCCAAGAATAGTAGAGTTTGAGTTGTAAATGAGCCTAATGTTATCACCTATATAATGGGTCAAATGGACAGTAATAACAATAGGTGGTCCAACTAGTAATAACAGAAGCCCAAGTGCGAAAAGTCGCATCAAGCAAGCCACTTTCTTGGAGGATTTGAAGAATCACATTGATGATTTTGTCAATGCATCTACGGTTCAACATAAAACATGCTTCAAGAAGACCATGCAGAAGATTTGTTCCCCCTTCACATTTAATGCTTATACAGCCTGTGTGCAAATGTTTTCATTGTTGAATCGGCTTGCTTCTAATTTTGATTGAGAAATTTTGCATTCGTTTTTAGTTGTTCGGAATGTCAAAGATTGTCGCTGAGATGAGCAATGACACCAAGGAAGTTGAAGCGAATTGCCTTGGTAAAGTAACAAAACAAGAATTTTTCTGCAGCAAATAAAATTATTCCTCTCTTGAGATATTTTTATTTATATTAATCAATGTTATACCAACGTACATTTATTAGCTCAAATTCATATACTACTGGAAAGTTGATTTCTAATCCTACAACAACGCACGGGCATTACTAAGCTCTAAAACTTCAACTTTTTAAGTGAAGGAGGCTTCCTAATCTTAGTTGCTTGCTCAAAGCCATATGCCATCTCAATTAGCTTCGGCTCCCAACCCCTCAGCCCTCCAAAGGAAAGGCCAACTGGTACCCCATCATCATATCCTGCTGGGACAATCACACCCGGGGAGCCGCTAATCGCAAGCAACGGCGACACGTTTTGAAGAGGAGCCACCACGGCATCTAGCTTGTTCTTTGTCACTAAATTCACGTAGTCATCCTTCGCGAATCTTGCCAAATTTAACAATGCTGCCTTCTCTGCCTTTCCTATACCATTTGTTGCTTCAGCTTCTAAAAATAGGCCTTGGCCATACTCCTTCACCTTCTCCTGCATTCCAAGTAATCAAAATCGGTTTTAGTTTCCGCAGCTACTTATTCAGAACGAAACATAGTTTGAGAAGAACAACGGCTTGCTCCTATTTACTCACCAGTTTTGCGTTTTTATTGTTAAAGGCTATCAAATCCGCCAAGGATCGGACTGGCGAAGCCACCAACTCCTTAAGGTATGTGTTTATATATATTTTGAACTCAGCTGACAGTGCAGTATTCTCACTGCTTCCATCGGAATAGATTTCATCAAAATGTGGTATTTCCAAATTGTCTACCAAAACAGCACCACCTTTCCTAAATTTAATTTTCCAACAACTTAATTAGTATTTCATCAGAATGGATACATGTCTCCGATTGAGACTAATATATGACTTTTTTTGTTACCTCAGCGTGTTGAAGTGTTTTTCATAAATTGGAGTCAACGAAGTTTGACCGGAGATGTTAAATAAGGCTCTCACTATCCCTATTCGCTTTCCTCGAAGCCCATCACGCCTGAGGAACCGTGCGTAGCCACCCTTGGGAATGTACCTCGATGCCTCAGTTGTTGCAACATCGTTCTGGTCGATGCCTGCAATGACATCAAGAACATGAGCAGCATCTGATACTGTCCGACAAATTGGCCTGTTCAATCCAAGACCAACAAACGACAGAGAAACAAAATAGTAAATATGACTAAAATTTATCCAAAATTAATTTTACACGAGCCTACTCTATATTGTGTGGAAAACTGAAAATTACGTAAATTGATCACCACTCACCCAACTGTGTCCTGTCTTAGAGAGATCGGGACAACCCCTGCTCGACTAGTAAGACCGTTTGTTGGTTTGATGCCCACGACTGAGTTAAAACTGGATGGACATAAAATTGATCCATCTGTTTCAGTGCCGAGTGTCACTGTTGCCAAATTTGCTGCCGCTGATATTGCTGAACCGCTACTTGAGCCGCAAGGTGTTGCAAGAGAATTGTAAGGGTTCTGCATTCCACCTAACAAGCTTAGTCTGTTGATTTTTTTTTTCTGCCTTGTTCAGTCTAAAACTATAGAAATGTTATCTTAGGAGACAGTCTGTCAAGTTATATTGTCAATCTGAAATACTAATCAGTTGGACTCTTATTTAAATGTAAGTTTTAGCTCGACAGTTTCACAACATAACATACTAGTTATTCAGCGATTAAACATAAATTAAGCCAACAAGTGATCCTCAACTCACCACCCCTTGGCCGCCTCTGGCACTCCAACCGGAGGGTGCATCGTTGGACCTCCAAAAGGACCACTCACTCAGGCTGGCCTTTCCCAGTATAATAGCCCCGGCATTCCTCAGCTTGGTGACAACACCTGCATCACGAGGAACAACTGAGCCAAGCAGAGCATACGAGCCAGCTGTGGTGTTCAACTTGTCCTTGGTAGCAATGTTGTCCTTGACCAGAATGGGAATCCCATGTAACTTAGAGAGTGACGCGGGCGGCGCCTTAGTCTTGCGTTCGTAATCCGCCTTGTCAGCCAAGTAAAGCGCGTCCGGGTTCACTTCTATGACCGCCTTAAGGAAAGGGTTGAGTCTTTTGATTTCTCCAAGGTAGAACTGGACAAGTTGCCTTGAGGTGAGTTGGTTGTGCTTGAAAGCGAGTTGGAGATCGTCAATGGTGGCTTCCCTGATCGAGAATTTCCGGCCCGTCGTTGTCCGAGTCCCAAGCGACAATGTAAACAGAAAAACCAGAAGTAAGGATGAGAAGTGATGGAGGTTTGGTTTCTCCATGGAAGCAGTATTAGTGGAGCCTCTGCAACTCCAAGCTTGGTGTAAACAAATTTATAGGATCCGAAAGGAGAAAAGTATCACAAACAGCTATGAAATAGTGTAAACGGAGAAAAATCTGCCCACTGCTTCCACCAATTCCAGCACCATTATCGGTGTTGGTACTGTGACCACAAGGACCACCATCACTACAATTTGCCGGGCACGTTTAAAAAGATGCTTTGAGACCCCGTTTGGTGGACAGAATGGAATAAGTTATATCTAATTAAATTGGATAAATAGTCCAATCAATGTTTGGTGAGAAAAATTGTAACACGGATTAGATTGACTATGAATTCGAAAAAAAAGAGAAATATGATGGGTTATGTGACCCAACCATACACATGAGTTATGTAATTCATCTCTGCCACTCCAAGCTTATCTCTATAATTCAATCTCATCCAGTTCACTAAACGAGCCCTAATTATCTTATCTCTTTGATGGTCGCCTTAGAAAATATGTCGAAGCAACATAATATCATGAGATATATGGATAAGGTTGCAAAGTGTGAAACCAGGTTGAAGCATAGTGGGTCGAAATAATTGTTCCTTTGTTTCGTACATGTTGGAAGAAATCGCATCAATATTTCTCACTTCTTTTCACGATGATTATGCAGAATATGGTTAGTGGTGGTGATATTTTTTTATTTTTTGTCTTTTGCTTGTGCATTGTATCAGTCATGTGTATCACATTGTTAGTGTTGATGTGGAGATAATTACATTTTATTGTTAAATAATTTTGAGTTTGATGTTCTAATTCTAAATAAGGCCACAAGCGGACAAATTGATAATCTCGAGACATCGTGTCACCGATTAGTGGCTGGGGCCGCTTCATTTGATTGATACCCAAGTGTGATGTCTTACTATTACTCTCAACTTGTCAATAATGCCTCACAAACTACACTGTAGAGTCATCCTTTGTTTCATTGATGATAATGCATGTGAACTTGCAAAACTCACTAGCCATCCTAAACTTCCCCGCCCACCAACCACCGCGAACTCCCACCCAACCTCCGTCATGAGGTTCCATGAAAGTACACTAATGGAGCTGCCATGGATCACCACTAGAAAACCCAAAGTTAATGTGGGGCTTTCTACAGTGCACATAAAAAATGCACATTTAAGTTGCATATTTGAACAAGTCGTTAGATAAAAATTAAGCCACGAGCATTAGTTTGCCTATTACCCGTTGATACATATGTAACTCAAGAGTTATGAATCACCCATGAGTTTAGGTCAAGGAATGGATTATCCATGATCCATCGGACCTAGCCCAATTCAAAAATGTGGAAAGGTTGTTGGGCCCTGCTCGAGCCTAGTTGAGCTCAATGATGAATCCTACTTGGTACGTAGTAATGTGTTCTGCTTTACCTTCTGCATTCAAGTACTGGCTCATTCTTATAAGCTTGAATATAATCTTCAAATTGGTAAGATATGGATGAAATACAACCCAACACAAAAAATATAGACGAAGATGAACTACTGTTAAAATACAATACATAAAAATGTATTGTACATATTATATTACGCAAGAGCTTATAGCTTCAATGGCAGAGCACTTTAACTGTATACTCATAATAAGCAGAGTTCAACTCTCGGCCTCCCTCTCTCTAAAATGAAAATACATAATTGTAGCCTAAGATAAACATAGAAGCAAGCTTAAACACAAATCACTTGCAAGCAGTAAATTTGCAAGGGACTTTCCCATAACCTGAATTAGCCCTAATGAACCTCAATCCTGTAAGGAGGACATTTCTGTTGGAGCCCATCAAGCCCCAATTCAAATGCTGAACCACAACAATCGAATTGTAAGGAAATTGAAGGCTGTTGTAGGAGTTGAGAAATGCAGTGATCCCTTCCCTTAGGAGTGTCCTATAAGGGTCTCCTCTTCCTTGTAGGCCTTGCCACAATGTGAGGTCAGTCCCATATCTCCCAGCCGCCACCGGTCCAAAAATAACGGCTACCTTTGTGTTCGGGTTCACTGCCCTCCAGTAGCATTTGTGCTCTGGTAGTGTCCACTGTCTGAGAATCACAATCCGATCACACAATCAGCAAAAGAGTCTTGCCAACTAGGAACACATTTCTTCTTGCTAATAGAAAGGGAAGGCATGTTTGAACATGGAATTCGTTTGAAAATAGAAATATCACTATACCATAGTAAATTAACCCATTTTGCACTTTTACGGAGAAACAAATCTTAATTTTGTTGCAGTGAATTAGCTGTGCTAAACAGCCTTAAACCCTAATGCATTTTAGTCTAGTACAACTTGGTAAAGTCATATTTGGCTCATCCCTATGGTGAAAGTCATTCTTACTTGATTGCCAATCACAGTTTACACTTGAGTGTAAACTTTTTTTTTTTATAAATATTCTACAATGTGTCAAATCGTGATTTGCGAAATAATGAATGACACAATCCAACAAGAACGCGATTTGCTTAATGAATAACTTACTGATGTGGGCATGCTGTAGCTTCTAAGAAGGGCATCGGCGGCATTGGAGGCAACGAGGGCAGTGGTGGCAGTGGAGGCAATCGAGGCATTGGGGGGAGCCTAAAAGGCGGAGGGCTTGCCGGCGTCACTGGTTTAGGTAGAGGGTTAACCGGTGTTACCGGTGCAGGCACAGGATTAGATGACTTGGGGCAAAATGACATGGGTTGAGCAGGCTGAGTGAGCAAAGAGTCCACAACATACATCCCCACGTCAAACATTCTAAACACAAGTCTAAGACTTTGAGCAGGACCAGCACTAACCACACAGCCACTCCCTGTGCTTGAAGAAATCTGAGCATAACAGCCGCTCAAATCTGGTGTCCCATCAAACCCGATGGCATAGTTTCCAAACCAATTTGTAGTCTCTTCCCTTGACATTGTGATTTGCCCATTACTGTCACTACATGCCACTTGTACTTTTACTCCTACAAAAATCAAAGCATATAAGTTTAGCACTAAGAGTCTAAGTAGAGAATGTGATTGAAAAATTCTACTATGCTACAGTGTATAGCGGATCATACTAAAAAATCTACAGCTGCGGATGTCTAACTTTCTTTCGGCTTCAATCGCCGAAAATAAATTAAAAAGGAGAATGTAGTATTAGGAATTAAGGAGTAGGGAACTCACCATAGATGGGGTAATCAAAGAGGGATCTTTCACCATCTTTGCATTGGTCACAGAAGACGGTGCCACTCACCATTGTATTTGCCTGAGCTGCATCAATGGCTACAAACAAAACCAGAATTGCTACAAAAAAGAATTTCTCCGGCCAATCCATGAGAGAGAGAGAGAGAGAGAGAGAGAGTGAAGAACTAGGAGTGAAAGCAATTCTTATATGCCAACTCTCAACTGCCAATATTTATGGTGAGTGGAAAGGGAACACTATTTTTCAAACTAGGAGGGACAATTGATAGTACAGACTTGCAGAGGTACATTTAAGGCTTGGTTCTAATAGCCCCATTATTCTTGGTTTCATTACGACTAATGTTTGAATCACAAGTGTCATGGACCAACAGTTAATGGCCTAAACCATCTAGATCTAGAAATTAACTTAATGTGCATGAGTTGGAGATTTAATTGCACTATTCCATGCATGAGTTTTGTCAAATAAGATAGCTGATTCGAACTTGAAACCTCTTTGAATTTTGATTGAAAGTCACAAGTAATAGTCGTTGTTCATGATAATTGATAAATTTAAGTATTGATTTTAAATTTACCAAATTTATGCTTACGGTTTACTTCCAATACTAGTTTCGATCAAATGTTTATTTTTTGTTGATTTGTACAACTTAGCATCCATGTGCAATAGTATTACAATCATTCTGTATCAAATATGCATGTGGATTCTAAATTATATGTAGTAATGAGACCTAAGTCTCGTTGTAAACCTAACTAGTTACCTCCAGTTATGCAAGTCAAAAGTTGAAAACGCTTTCCATGTGAACTTCAACTGAAATTAATAGTAGAAGTAAATTATAGGGTACCCTAAATTATATGAGAAATAATTTTTTTTTAACAAACAATATTAGAAATAATGTGGTTCAAACTCATTTTTTGCGAGAATCAAATCTAAAACCTCTCACTTACAAGTATAAAAGTATACCACTAGGTTATACTAATAAGTTACACCAGTAAACATTCTTAATTTTGAGAACCGGCAAAGAAAACACTAGTCGGTGGGCCGGAGTTTTTGCTTTCTAGGCAATAAAATAAAAAGTCCATATTACCATTATTAGACATGGGTGGGTTTGCCGCCAGATGTATAATATGAATTTCAAGCCGTTGCTGGTTGGGGGGGTATTCGTTGGCCGTAAAAGTAGCACCACACACATTCATGAGACCACGAGAGAGAGAGAGTGATGATTTGCAAAGCCAGCCAATCCACGTCTGCAAAAGGTATGGCCTTTCTCTTGTGTCTGTCCATGTGATAGCTAGGGCACATGAAGAAGGTGAACTTTTTATTTTGATGTGTGAGAGACGAAAAACACCTAGTTCTTTTTTAGACAAGAAGTATGTTTCAGTGCAAAAAGAGTCGAGTTTAAATTAGAGTTTCTCAATGAGGGTCATTTAAGTAAAAAATGGACAGATAAGAATGAATCTCACATTGATGAGGAATTTTGCATGAACTTACGAGTAAATTGAACTACTCTCCATATGGGCGATTATTTTTATAATGAAGCCTCAAACTTCTTCTTCATGGACGTCGTGCATAGAGAATCTCTGCCTCAAATTTTGCTCATAGTATCAATTACATTATTTTATGAACCAGATATTTTCAATATAGCAGAACAAATGCATGAACCCAGAATACATAAATACAGTGAGCTATAACCCTCGTCCTGTAGCGTTCCCTATTCATCTCGCACCAAGCAGACATTCAGCAACATATCGATCGCACAAACAGAAACCTACAAAGTTATACAACATCACATGTCAAAGCAAAGAAGAAAGTTATAGAGAACACCTGAAAACTCTAGATTTACTTGATCACAACTTCAAAACCAAAATCTGCACACCATGCACAAGCGCTCAACAAATGTGGGAACCGGGAGCTTTAAGGGTCAAAAATAATAATTAGAGTAACAGCAGTTCTCAATCTTAAATACAACATACAAATAAATCCTATACGCAAAACTAGTTTAACTGTTTAAAAAGCCTACAAAAATCGTCTCAAGTTCAATGTATAACAGTCGCAGCAGGGAACATAAATTATAAACTGAAAATTCAACAGCCTCATGGATCCAAGCTCTCTAGTAACCTTAAATCTTTTCCCATGCCTTACACCGAACTTGTAAAACCTCCTCTTCAATTTTCATCAACATGCTCGTTCCCTGGTTCCATATTCCCGTTCTCCGACTCAACATGCTCGTTCTGTGGTTCCTCAGAATTGCTCCTAGTCTCACTTTTATCAGCACTGCACCCAAAGAAAACAATGAGGATCAAAGTTTTAACAAAATCTGAAAATAGGAAACACGTAGTTAGAAGCACATGCAATCGCACAGTGACAAGTTACAAAGTTGAAACTAACGGACGAGGAATGCATGGTTGAATGAGCCTTAAACTTTAAATGATTCCATTGAAGATGGTTATATCCTTCTAGCCCAGTATTCAGAAATTAGCATATACTAGCAACTACAATTAGTGCGTAAAACACCTTCTTTCTTTGTGCAGCTGCAGAGTTAGGGGGCTAAGTGTGTGAGCAAGCAATTAGTGCGTAAAACACCTTCTTTCCTTGTGCAGCTGCAGGGTTAGGGGGCTAAGTGAGCAAGCGAGCGAGTGTGAGTGTGTTTGCATGTGTGCGCGCGCGCATGTGTGCAAACAGCAGTACGCGTGTGCAAACAGCAGAAGGATACGCATCTACAGATCACCGCTCAACCTTCAAAATATGTAATAAGGAACAAAATGAAAAAGTGCCACTAATTTAATTTTGTCTATGCACACACATGAGACGGATCAAAACAAAACACCTCAGAAGTGGATTTCATTTCATCAAACCACCAAGAATTCCGTAAACACTAATCAATAAGATGGCAGACAATGGTCAGCGGAGAAAAATTCTTTTGAAATACAGAAACATTGTCAAGAGTTCAAAAAGCTTCCTTTGGACATAGATGTGTACATGAATGCCCTACATCTCCCCCACAAGGTTTAGAGAGTTAACCAAAACTATCCCTTTATACAAAGAAAAACTGAATGACTCACACACACAACATAAAACCAATATGCGAAGTCACTGTTCCATCGAGCAACATTTCCCAAAAACTCATTCAAACAATTCTAACAGCAACATACAATCAAAATCAACATGCAAAAGTATAGAAAGGATCAAACTTCACAATTAAGCATCCTAACTTCGAGTATTTCAGATTCCCAATCAATCATATTACTGAAATAACCAACCTCTGGGGCCGTGAATCAGCCGAATCAGGCTTCCTCCAAGCTCTCTCAGTTCGATCACCAGCACGCCCATTTCCCATCCCAAAACTCCTCCCAAACGACTCGCTGTTCGCTATCTCCTTCACCTCCTTAATCTTAGCAGACTCAAGCTGCTCATCAATCTCCTTCCAGTCCTTCCCCTTCTCCGCCAACACCTCTTCCCTCGGCCTTGCTGCACCAAATGGGTTAGAGCCCTTGGGCTTCGGTGGAGTGGTCGACCCTGGTGAGGTCTCGTTGCTCACAGGCAAACTCCTCGGCTGCAAATTAAGCCTGGGCCTCGCAGTACTCTCACTAAGACCACCATTACTCTCCTCCCTCTTCTTCCCCCAAACATCAGAATCCGCACCACCGCCATTGGAAACGAACCCAACTTTTCTCTCTCTATCAAATCCAGACCCACCATTAGTCTCCTCCTTCTTCCTCCCCCAATTGTCAGAATCAGCACCTCCATTAGATGGGAACCCTACTTTCCTGTCCCGATCAAACCCGCTGCCACCACCGCCAAATCTCCGTCCCTCCGACTGCATGGAGCTCTTATTCGATACCCAGCTGTTGGATTCATCAGCCTTCGACTGTGACCCACCAAAAAAACTACCTCCAGGTCCTCCTCTCTCCCTCCTCTCAAACCCATTTCCCGGCATCGATTTCTTCTTGGCGCCCCAATCATCAACCTCATCCGCTCTCGAAGGCTCATCTCGGTTCGATTCCCTCCCAAACCCACCTTCCTTCCTCTGACCCGAACCCCACTTCGACTCCGAAGACTCGTCACCATTGGAATACCTGCTGTTTCCCCGATCGCCCCCATAAGACCTGAACCCGCCGCCGAGCCGATTCCGATCAAGCTCCTCGGCTGTTCGCTCGCGCGGACCGGTCGGCAAAAGCATCCGGTCCTCGTGGGTCAGGCCCACGGGATGCTCCGCGGGCTTGGGTTTGGGCGCCCCAAAGTTATTGAACTCGGCGAGGGAGATGGTCTGTTTCTTCTTCTTGGGCTTGGTGGCGGCGGCTGCAGAGAGAGATGGGAAGTCAGCGGAGGGCGGCTCAACGGCGCGTTGTTGTTCCTCTTTGGCTTGCTGTTCGAGTTCGGCTTCCTGCTCCTCGGCGGCAAGGGCCCAGGCGCCGGGCTTGGCCCACGGAGACACGGTGGCCGCCATGGTTGCAGTGGTAGCTCTGTGGAAAACTGAAAAGGTGGCTCCTTTTTATTCTCTTGCGCGAAGTCGGTTTTCGGGGTTGCGTTGTGGAGAAGCGGTGAAGGGGTTCTACGAATATATAGGGTAAGGAATGAGGATCTGATCCGACGGTTGATTGGAGTTTATGATTTTCCGAATCAGATGGGGAATCTGCGAGGTTTTTTATTTTTATTTTTATTTTGTTTTTAGATATGGAGAAGGACTCTGACTTTTAATTATTATTATTATTTTTTTTTTTTTAATTTTTCCTTACTAGTATCTTTTATGGTGCGAAGCGAAATTCCATTTATGCAAGTAAAATGGTACTTGAAATGCACTTTTAAAGTTTTCGCATACAAGCGAACATGTGATTTGATTACAACTTCAAATTTGTCGTATACAAGTTAAAGATTATCTTATTACATATGACACGATTAAAGTTTAAAATTTTTCGCATATAAACGAACAGATGATCCGACTATAACTTCAAATTTTTCGTATACAAGTTAAAGACCAATAGTTTATTAGCATCTCTCATTACATATAATACGTTTAAAGCTTAAAATTTCTTGTATACAAACGAAAAGGGAACCTTATTGCAACTTAGATTTTCTCATATACAAAGAAAGGGCTAACAAATTTAGTTTAATTTCTACACATTTTCAAATTTGAATTGGGAGTATTTTTCTTGTAATGAGGGGGATACCTTACAATCTCTATTTCCTATATCACGAAACAAAAAGCTAGTCGGTTCAAGATGGGGTATTTTAGAACGGAGGTGCCAAAGTCGTTATCTAAGAAAAATAAATAGAATTTTAACTTCGAAGGAGTTTAAATTATGCATTGACACACTTATATCCAAAAATAACTTATAATTTAAATGGTCGAGAGCGTTACCTTACCTCTAAGGTCTTTTTTGTTGAATTGAATGCATTCCATTACAAACTTATTCCAATTTTCCCATATGTGTCCATATCCATAGGATTGAAATTGAAATTAGTGATTCCTCTTTTCCCTTTTTTACCTAGAACCCACTATTTATCATTTCTTATGGGCTAAAGAAATTTGGGAAGATTACATTCAAATGGTAAAATATTGCACAATCTGCAGATTCGGATATATGTAGATGGACATTTCACATTTGTGAGTGAAGCCATCCATGTCTTTTTTTTCTTTCAGAAAAAAAGGAAAACTCATTGACAAGAAAACCCAAAATTGAAGAGTTTATACAAGATTTACAAATTCCATGTAGTATTTGCCCATTAAAACGTAACTCTGTCCATCAGCTCTATTCTATAATCTATCAATGCCGGTATGATACACACTAGAAAGAGAGGAAACAATCAACCTCATTTGGATATCAACGAGGATCATGAACGAAACTAGTGAATGAGAAGCTGAGCATCATTATGTACAGATGCCATTAGCCCGTCGTGAAGAGATTGGACATCGCCAGCATCACAAGTCTCTCTATTCCCTGATATTGATACAGAACTGTAACCCCATTCCTGACGGAGGATGATTCAGAACTTAGCATTCAGAGGGGTGCCACAAACACAACTCACTGAGGGCCTCATCTGCTGGCCGATGAAGCACATAAAAGTAACTCCGCAATCTGCTAATAGCTCCAATATCTGCCTAGAAGAAACCAGGAACTCCCCATCTACAAACACTCTGTAAAGGGTGGTTCTATTGGCACCCAACACATTGCTAAAGAAAAGAAATTAAAAAACAGGCCAGTGATGGGATGGAGGAAGGGGACGAAAGGGGACGGTGGATGGGAGTGCAATGTTTTTTAGAAGAGTAAGGGTAAAATAGTTAGCAACGTGCTGGATGCCCACAGACTAACTCCTATCAAAATGATAGTTGCAGTGCAGCTTCATTGCTTGGGATTGCATTCTTCAAGATGACTGTTGCAGATTAAAATTGGTATTACGGTTCAGGATAATGTGAATTCTGTAAAGTGAGCAAACGTTCATCTTCAGAACTCTTCACTGAATCTCCTCTAATGTACCATGTTACAGTTCCTGCGATGACGAGAAGAACTATTGTAAGTTCAAGTCAATACCCAATACAAAGATTTACCATATACTAAGATTCAAAAGCACTCTGAAGAAGAGTTTCCCGGTACCAATCACAAGCAAAGAAAGTAAATGTTATAGCCAACTGTAAGTGTAACTGTAACATGATCCTTAGTCAAACCAATGTGTTAATCACACCAACTCCTGAAACAGTTCAACCCGACAAAGAAACACACCATGCGAAGTATTTTTTTCTCTTTTGGTGCTCAACCAGAGTAGTAGTTAAAATGGTGATGGAATGTTACCACATTGTAAATTTTATTCCTGATCTTAGTTTTCCTATCATGAGGAAACCAAATGTCTTGCAGCATCTGTTTTATGTTCAACCTGTTTATTAGATCAGAATTTTTACTTGCTATATTGATTTGAATTTAAAGGAGAAATTAAGTATAATAAAGAGCCCCAAATCCCAGATAATACAGGTTAAGGAAACAAAGTCCATATATATACCTTGTGGTTGTGGAGCAGGTGGTTCCTGATCTCTTGTTCCATGGAGTATGATGGTTCCTGACAGCACAGTGATGAATCCACATATTTCAGAGGCTATGCTGCTCACATTCTGACCAGACCAATCCTGTTTAGAATATAGGAAACAACGTGAAATCAGAATCCGATGTCTTCATAATTGCATGGCAAACAAGTAACAAATTAAGGCATCAGAAGGAAACCCCAGTATATAGATCAAGAAATCTACCTTGAACATTATTACACTAGCAATTATGGTCAGAGTTGTGAACATCACATAATATACTGGGGCAACAATTGCAGCATTGAATGTATCCAAAGCCTGAAACAAAGATGCTGGCAACATAAGTGATACGAGACTCAGCATGTAATTATTTATAATCCGAACTTCTAGAGAGATCTGAGTTAAAAGATGGCTGAAAGAAAATACCAATAAGATTATCATCCAAGCAGCATGTGATAAGCTGAATTTTTCAATAAGTAAACCGACTTAAACTTACTTTCAAATTTCAATTGAAAAGACTTTGAGAAATTTCCAAATTTATCAGAATGCAAATACTCTATGCTTTATCTACTGCTATTATATTGACAAGTTATACAGCAAATTGACACGTTATATAGCAAAAGTAGAATACATCAATTGCCCCTCCTTTATCGGCTAGGAACACGATGTAGTCAAAAGGTAAACAAATGGGCTGAACAGGATCTAAGAAAGGAAATACAAATTAGGCATTGCAGGTAGAGCAGACATTTAGCAAAAAAATGGCTAGTCACCACATAAATGCCAGTGACGATGGTCTTGGAGGAAGGTGCCAAAATTAAAAGAGCAAACTGACCTTGTTAAGGTAATTTAACTGTGTAACAACGCAGATTATTGCAACTGTCAGAAAAAACCATGTCTGTGGATAAGCTATCTGACTTACTCCCTCAAGAGTTAGCTTTATAGCAATTCCAATTGCCTTTATGCTGACAACCTGAAGTAGCATAATGTACACAGCTAAGCACCTAACAATTTGAACATATAAGAACAAAATGACTATACGTACTTAGCAAACAAGAAAAGGATAGTTACCGTAAGTGAACCCATCAAGGAACAGATTCCCAAATAGACCAGTATGTTCGTTTGTCCATACCGAGGTTCAAAATGCAAGACCAAAACTAACACTAGGGAAATTGTAACTGCAACATAAATCAAAAAGGCTGTGTAGAAAAGAAAAACACGTCAAGTTAAACAAGCCAATGAAGGTTTTATGACAAGTAGCATTGAAAGAGAAAAAGGACGAGATAGAGGTCACGATTCATGAACCTGTTTGGGTCGCCAGGACCCAGATTTCCTCTACAGAATTTAGACTATGCTCCTGAGGTGCATGGATCACAATCACAACTGATCCCACGATGCAGGTAACACATCCGACAATACCCATTTTTGTTATTGGTTCCTTCAACAAGAAGTGAGCCAAAACAGCACTGGACAAATCCAACAAACCCGTAAGACGGAAACACAAACTTTCACACAATAATCAGCACAGAAATGAACTGAGTGTTGTACAAGTGCATTTACCTGACGATTATACTCAGTGCACCAAGTGGGGTTACAAGAAGTGCCGGAGCATATACATAAGCCACGAAATTGGCAACTTCCCCAACAATCACTACCCAGTTGGAAAAATCGAAAACCGAATATCAATAACTCACATCTACTTAGGAATTCAGTCAAATTTTCTGCAGGGAAAGTGTTTGAGCTACACTTACTGGTGATCATGCCAGCCCACCAGAGTGGTTCTAATAAGTATGCATACCCACCAACTCCTACACAACTCAAATTAGACAAATTATCAATCAAACAAATCAATGAGATCACCATAACAAAATCAATCAGCCAGTTGGGTTTCTGGAACCCATCAATTAGAAGAATTTTTAAAAATTGAATGGTTTGATTACATATTTGTAATTTACTCCAACTCCCAATATCTGGGGATTGCATCCAACTAAACTTACCTGCTCGGGTGCCGGCGGAGGCGGCACGCTTGAGACCCTTCTTCTTCAGGATGAAGCTCGCCCCGATGAAGGCGCTCGACGCCATCGCCAGTATCAACCCCTTTGTATTCTCCGAAACCCCCATCGGTCTCTCTCTCCCTAGGTTTCGATTTCCCGCCAACCAGAATTTTACAACAGGTTCCTCTCTTCTCTCTTTCTCTGTAAATTGCAATACGCCTCCAAAGCTCTCAAAGAGTAGAGAGAAAGAGAGAGCGAGCGATCTGTAATTTCTATTAATTTTAATTATATATTCCTGATTTATTTGCTAAATTGAAATCCTCTCTCGCGACTCCCAAGTTCCGTCGTCTTGTCGGAAGTTTCCGGTGGCCGTCGGGACCGAGGTAATGATTCCCTGCTTCGCGCGCTGGTTACCCCCATGTTGCGGGAGCTGATTCTATTGGCCCGTGACTTGTTGAGGGCCATACTGAAATGATGAGCGTGTCCTTGCTCTACTGGCAGGTGCCAAGACCCTTTGCGGTTTGCATAACATTCGTATGTTGACAAGTGTCCTAGGACTTAACAACATTTGAACTCTGTTAACTTGACAAGAAAAAAAAAAAAAAAAAAAAAAAACAAATTAAAGAAAAATCAGAAAACTTCAGCTCACCTCGGCCGAATTGGACGAGCTGGAAAATTCCTTTAGATCCGAAATTCTAAATTCGAATCGTTAAAACTGTATAAAAAATTAGGATTATCTGATTCGATTTTTCAAATGGGTTTAGAAGAAGGCTAATTCAAATCCCTGTAATTGTTAATAATTGGGTTCGGAAGCCATTTTGTGTTGGATCTGCTTTGGCGACGGTAGCAGTATCTTTGTTCGGTCTTTCTATTTTTTTCCCTCTTGAATTTGTTTGAATTTTAACGCTGTTACACTCCAGTTATGGGTTCACAGGCTGGGCAGTGGATTTATGGGCGCAGCACATCTGCATCCACTACAGTAAGTCACGTGATCAGTTGGATGACAGCGGCGGGCGGATGCGCCAAACGCATTTACATCGAACGGGTTCATAAACAAGTAAATCAATAAGATACATTACTAGATTGCAACCACAAATACAACATACATTTTCCAATACAAGTTATTGAAGATGCCAACAAGCACAAGAGTCCAAAAACACAAGTGGATCAACAATTAACAATTAACAATTAATAATTAAATGATAAACCAAAAAGAAGATAAATTGGAAAAGAAAGATAGTTAATAATAATTGAGAATAAGACCTATTTTATTTAACGATAATAGCTCGTTTCAATACAGAATAAAGAGTCTCAATCTCAGGTCAGAAACCACCGGAAGAGCATTATACGGCAAATTGGAAAATTAAAACCATAATAAGGTCCATAACCCAAACTCTAATATGACCCCACCTACTTTAATACCCAAATTTAAACACTCATCGCATGACACGACGACGTTTCCATCGTCCATACATCAGCAGCCCAAGCGGCGCCGTCTAGGATAGCTGGCCACAGTCGGCGACAACCACCGGCTTCGAGGTCCTTCCCTGTCCAGATCCGACCTTCTCGATGTTCTTCACCACATCCAGCCCCTCGATCACCTGCCCGAACACCACGTGTTTGCCGTCGAGCCACTCGGTCTTGGCTGTGCAGATGAAGAACTGAGATCCGTTGGTTCCGGGACCCGCGTTGGCCATGGATAATATTCCAGGTCCGGTGTGCTTCTTCTTGAAGTTCTCGTCCGCGAACTTGGCGCCGTAGATCGACTCTCCTCCGGTGCCGTTTCCGGCGGTGAAGTCACCTCCCTGGCACATGAACCCGGGGATCACGCGGTGGAAGGCGGATCCCTTGTAGTGGAGGGGCTTGCCGGAGCGGCCTGTGCCCTTCTCGCCGGTGCAGAGAGCCCTGAAGTTCTCCGCGGTGCGGGGGGTGGTGTCGGCGAAGAGCTCCATCACGATTCGGCCGGCCGGCTGGCCTCCGATCGTCATGTCAAAGAAAACCTTCGGGTTTACCATTGCGGTTCGTTCTAGAGGAGAGAATCAAGAGAGTGGGATTGGGCTTTGTGATGCGTGGTCAAGGTCACGAAGACGCGGGGATTTATAAAAGGGTTTCTGCTGGGAATGTCTAGGTCAAGTTTCTGTCAGCCGTTGGATTGAAAAACGTGGAGCGAATCCGAAGAGGGACGGGCTAACCGTGGTTGGGTCGGCTTTTTAACCGTGGTGTATTTTGGGATCCGAGGCTGAATGAAGTGGGCATGCTGGGTATATGCTTTTGTCATTTTTGGAATGAGACCACCTATCATCTCATAATTTAATATTAATTTTCATTTCAATAACAAAAGATACTGTGCCATAACATGAGTTATTATCGAGTTAAGAGTCTCACTTTTGAATCTGATTTTTACAGTAATTTTCATTCCATCATTATAATATATGACATCTGATGTAGAAATCCACATCATTTGAAAAATTTGCAAAACCCAAGGAAATGAAAGAGAAAGACTTCTCGTATACCACAATCATCATTTAATTAACTAGTTTTTTTTAATTATTAGTTTATTAAATAATGATCTAAATTTAAAAATCTTATTAATTCAAATAATGTGCCTATCAACATCAAATATCACCTAAGGTGATATAAAAATACGGTACAAAAATATCTTATGAATAGCATTACTCTATAAAATATAGTATTATAAACATAAAGTGATTCTCTTGTAATTTCACTTTAGAGAGAAAAGATTTATTTTCGGATTTTTTCTACCAAGATATCTGATCAAGTGATTTAGACATTTGAAATTTTATCTAACGGCCCATTTATTTTGACTCTTTAAAAACTATAATAATTTTTTACTGTTGAATGAAATTTTAAAAGTTCATGTTACTTGATTTGGTAATTTTGATGGAAGAGATATAGAGATGATCTCTTCTCTACTTTTGAAACCATTTCTGCTTTCGGGTAAGGGTTCGTCGGCACATCAGGAGAAGATGCAACGTCGTTTGGGGGTTTCGGGTGTGGATTTGATTGTTGTGGCACGTGGCACACGTCTTTAATAACAAGTTAACACTGACAATTTGACTGATTTACTAACCCTTCTCTTGATTAGATCTAACGGTGGAGATTTCACGATGTTATTCAGATGCCAACAAATATTTGAAGCCAAAAGATCTGAAATTACGAATCAGGGAAACCAATTTATATATTTATATATTTATTTATTACATATGATTATACCCGTGGAGCATGGATCCACCAACCATGGAAATGTGGGTTGCCGGGAGATTTTTAATGTACTCGAAACATAAGATACATACATCATATGTTATTATACGAATAGATAGACACTTGAAGAAAAAAATCATCTACTTATATAATAATATATGACATACCGTCTCGTATTTTAGACACATTGAAAGATCTCTTTTGGATTGATCCAAACAACAAGCAGATTGATTAAGATTAGTTTGTTAATTTTCTTCATAATGGAAAATATAAATCAGAAATGAATAGAGGTAATATGGTTAAAGGGTCGTTGTTCCTAAAAAGAGGAGGGCACTTTGTTTAGTAAAGTTGGGGGATTATCTTCAATTTATTCCAATGTGGCAATTTTCGTTGGGTGCTTGGACAGATGTTCTCGCAACATTGGTCACGTGGTCACCGTTACATGGACAGTCGTCTCAGTTTTTCTTTTAGATTTTTCCTATGAATCTCAAGTTTAATCCTTCCAACTTTCTAAACTTGCGTATTTAGGGATATTATTTTTGTAAATTGATTTTCACCTCTTGCACATTTTTGTTTAGTTATTGGTAGCGAAATCAAAAGTCAGAATTAAAATGAGATGTGCAAATAATAGACAGATGTATATAAAATTCTTTCATTGTATTTACACAAATATAGAAGTGGCATGCAAGGACAATAAAACAATGTGAGGCATATCGCTGAGCATTATAGTAACAATCAGAGTCTTTAAGGAAAGGGAGTTCCATTTTTCTCAAAAATGAAAAATAGTTGTGAGATCCACATAACATCGAATTTTAACAATACGAACCATCTATTTTTCAAGTTGTACTTCATAGATCAGCTTGTAAAATATTAGTCAAATTAGAAATATTTTCGGCATCTAATTTTTTTTTGCCAGATCTTAGTCATCTAATTTAGTTCAAAGAAATTGACAACACACCATGCTCTTAAAAACATTGAAATTTTATCATGACTAGTAAATAGACAAATAGTTTCGAATTGAATTAAAATTTTGCAAAAATGATCTATGAATCAAGGCTTAAAAAATAAATGGTTCGAATCGTTAAAATTCAATGCTGAATGAATTCTACAACTAATCCCTATTTTTTCAAATCAAAGATAAAGATCTCTTCGTTTAAAATCTCATTACTCCGTTCCAAAGTATCTTCCCTTCAAATCAAAATTCGTGTAAATTACACGAGAGAGAGAGAGAGAGAGAGAGAGAGAGAGAGAGAGAGAGAGAGAAGGGCAATGAAAACGCAACACTTGACTGAATCAATTTTGGAAAAGGGAAGGACAGGAAATTCGCATGCGACAATGAAAAGTGGCCACGGATTCAACAAAATCTTGCCCATCAATCATACAACACATCTTTCTCAAAAGCCTCAAAGAAACCCCACAATTTTATAACCAAAATGTGGAATATTTCTAAAGCCATTCATCTGAGCCTTCCTTTCAAGTGATGCAGAGTTTTTACATTACATTGCAAAGCCTTACAGTTTTCGGTTTTCGCCTATATGCACAAGACTATCTCACAGAAACTCGTCAGCCTGTAATAATCCGGGATAAATGACCGATATAATCTGTTTCAAGGACTTCGCAGATGGTTTGAGGAAAGCATGTCTCTCCGTCGCTACAAAACACATTACAAGAAAACATTAAGTACTCTCTGAACGTCCAGTAGCTTGGTAACAAACTACGTATTCAATGCAACTGGAAGACGTATGCAGATAAATGGGAGTTTTTACCTTTTACTAAATGTTTAACTTCCTTTGAAAAATCCTCCACACGACCTATTACTGGTCTTATGCCACATATCTGCAGAACACAGAGTTCCGAGTGCAGGGCCATCTCCATTATTTGTAGCAGTAAGCAACAGATACTCTGGACTTCAATTTGAATCTCGTTTGATCTGTTAACCACACACAGCTCTGTAACAATTGTAATTGCTTGGTCCTACATCAGAGATAATAACACATCCATATTAAAAAGGAACGCCACCTCAAAACTTACAAGTTATTGTAGACCAGATATAGTTTCACATAACAAAACAAAAAGCTAAGCAAAGAACAAAATTTATCGTCGTACCTGTAAGCCATGTAAGATCTCAGGCATTGGAAGCTCAGGAAAATGGTCAAGATCTACAAAACCAGCCTCTTCTTCCCTTCTAGCAGCACCCTCAGCTTGTAAGCTCAGGAACTTCAAAAGGAGAAAAGTTATTCTGTAGGTCTGTAGGGCAATAGAGTCGGAGAAATATGACTGAGAAATGTGACTGCCATTTACAGTTGCTTGAGTTTTAATAACCAGCGCAGTAGATGTGGTAGGGATGGTGGAGAATTTTGGTTTTGAAACACAACTGAGGGCTGAAAGAGCAAACCATCCGCTTTTACTGTTGATAGGGTTTCTTCCAGCCATCAAATTCCTCTTTAAGGACAGAAGGACATAACAGAGGGGCACTAAGACTAGAAGGTTCTCCAAGCCGTTGAGTTCCCCGACTGATAAAGGCTAAAAGATGGATACTTTTCTCTCTCAACTGGGAATCCAATTCTTTCATGGACTTAACCCAGGAATTCCAATGTTTTGCTAGCACACATTAGCATGAGAGTGTGCTCAGTTTCTTTAAGATCAGTAAGAGAAGTTTGTCTCTGCTAAGCCCAAGGTCTTTTCTTGTCATGATCATCAGATGGGAAATCCGGAGCACTCAGATAGTAAGAAATCATATAGTCCTTCTCTGAAAAGAAGTAAGGTATTACATTCTCCACAAGATTGGAACAATCAGAACTGTCTCCCAATGACTCAACCATAGCTGTGATGACTGCCAAACCAAGTCCCCAATCTGCTTAGGCTTTTCCAGTTTCTCAGATGATGAGTTGGAATTTCTGTTATCAATAGCTTCGGAAGAAGATGTACCATCCAAGTATTCAGCGAACAAGAATCTCAGAGACGAGAGAAAGCCATAATTAATAAGCATTTCTGCACCCTGCCTAACACGGGCAAGAGTCATAAAGAACTTCATTATAACAGGCACAGATTCAAGAGAATTTTTATTTTGAAGCTTCAGAATCACATGCTGAAGCTGGAGGTGGTTCTGTATAATGGGGAACCAAGTGTTGGGAGTCAAGAAATTTCTAAGTATCAAGTCCACAGTAGTTAGGGAGAGGGTTCCGTGCTCAGCAGTAGCAATACAGTTACAGAGAACTGGTAGTAGACCAAGACTCACATTAGATATTTTAGCCATGTCTTCGACAGAAACTATATCTCTTGCCCCAACCAAATGCAACTTATGACAACTAAACTCCACCGCTGAGAGAAGCAACATAAGTAAGAGCTTGACTACAGTATCAAGTATCAACCCCCATAACTGATGGCCTGGTAACTAATGCTCTGAATCACTCAACGCTTTAAGCCAGAACCTGATGTTTTTAGTACGAGAATGCAAACAGATAAAGGCAGGCTTTTATGTGCATACATCATAAAATAGAGAAGCGATTCTGCTTGAGCCGCAAGGAAGTGAAAGATATCTTCAGAAGCGCTGGGTACTGGAGCTAATGATTCTACTGTGTTGTGGAAGCTCAGGCATATGTGATCTATGCATGAGAAAACAAGTTGATCAGGGATCTGTCTCACTGTCCTCTTTGTCTCCAGTGACTGCAGTAGCAGGTACGCATGAATTAGTTTCAAAAGAAATAAGATATTTGTAAAAGCAACAAAGTGACAAGAACTAAACCGTCACAACAAAAAAATTCATCGACCTTCAACACAAGGACAAAAATACCGTGCTGGTCAGCATCTAGATGCTACTGGTGAAAGCAGGTGGCTTAGATCATGTGTCTTATTGAAGACAAAGTAGCCTTCACCATATGTCCAAACTCTCAAAACCTCATCATCTCGGTTTTTCTTATCATATTCTTGATTTAACGGGAATGCAATGACTTCACAACCGTTCATTGTAAGATGAATAGAAGTTAATTAAAAGAGTATTTCGAAATGAAATCTGCATTCTCCAGTTTCCATTAAATGCTTTTACTATTCATACCCCAATTTTGAACAATACAAACTTGACACATCTTATATCATGAGAGTTACTACTCTAGCCATAGGTCCTAGTTATTTGATTGCATTCTTCAGCACTTAAGTAGACATGACATAGGTATAACATAGAGTTCACAGACAGCAATATCATTGATGCTGTTCAACTTCCAAAATATTTGAAATGAGAAATCAATGTTTGAAATAGTTTTTACACAAACTTTACAGGTTCCCGTAGAATATTAGACATTAACATTTGTTAGCATCAGATGTAACATGTTTCAAAAACATTGCATCTCTTTACATCTGCATGATCCTTAAAATATCCAACCCTAAAATGCAGTTACAGATATTATTGGACCCCTTTCGTTGAGGGATTCCTCAACGGAAGGACACTGCATATCAAATTTCTAACAATGAGAAAGCATCTAAAAGCAATTAGAAACTCTAAAAGAGTACTCACATCCTCCCCGTAAACAGTTAAGACACTTCTTAATGGTCTCAGTGCAGAAAGCTTCGAACTTGTAAGCATCGCCATTGAGTTTGCAGCTTTCATGTGATGCAACATTGTTTCTGCAGTTGCCTTTGATTCTTTCCATTTTGAATAATCCCAAAGATCTAACCCCAAATCAGCACGTACACATTTAAGATCAAACAAGTATGTATCTCTTCTGGTCACAAAAAGATCACCATCATCCTTGTGTTGGTAAGTCTGAAAAATATTTGATTCAATCAGGAACTGAGAGAGTTCTTTGAATGGTCCAGGACTGATTTCACGGCCTTCAAGCTGTCCTTGCAGATGATAGTAGAGATCACTAAGTATCAAATAGTTTGGCTCTTTCCCTGCACTGAAAATAAGATAATATATTATTCATACATAGGCACATACATAACACGCATTATTCATTGATTCCATTTTCGTAGTCTCAGCATTCTTATGAGATATAACACATGTTATTAAAAGAGTACATGTGAAACAAATAAACAAAAACCACATATGGTCTTCAAAGCCTATGCAAATTTAACCTCCCAAACTTATGACTGCATGTCACCACTTAGACGGTCTGTCAAATACAAGAACTCAAAACTAAATTATCACACATAACACAGCAAGAACTGTTTTCACACTATAAGAACACATTTACTGGAAGGGGCAGTTATAAATATCCAGAATCCTCAGGCGAGGTACTGTATAGAGGCAGTTTGTTGACTTACAAATGCCTTGTTCAAAAGTGGCAGTGCTAAGTATAGAAATTCCAACCGAAATTAACAATAGCACACATGTTACCTGTAACCATGCTGTGAGTATTGAGCTAACAATTCAGAAAAAGCAGGATGACTTCTCAGCTGCCAATGAAGAAGGGTGAGAAGAAAGATAACAGCAATCAGATATGATGCAAATTATACAATCTCAATTTTACTAAAACGGAAAGTACTAAATACGAGAATCTATGAAATTAGAAACTAAATTGAACCTTTAATGGGTTTCTCAGCATACAATCATCTTGGATTACAAATTAAGTAACACAATCAAGAAGGGAACGAACCTTATTTGACATGTTACTGGACTTCTGAACTAATGACATAGACAAACTTCCTGCACCACCAATTGATAAGTTCACCATCACACGAGCAGTGATTACACTCGCAGCAACCTGTGAAGTTACAGAGGTATGAATATTGCATTCTAAAAATTAAGAACCTATAAGCCACTTAGTACTAGGGTCCAATGGTATTCTTCTTCACTTGTATGTGAGAGGTCTTATTTTCTATTCTTGCCAAAGGGGAATTTGAACCACATTATTGCAAGCCCATTGTGAGGCTTAGCCACTCCCCCACCCCTTAGTGTAGATAATAGGTTAGTACTAATGTATGTCATGAAGCATATTGAACACAATAATGCATAGGTGAGAAACTTTCTTATACAAAAAATGACTATTTCCTAGAGCAGTGAACTTAAGCGGAAAACCAAAAGCTTCAACTCATAAAACATAAGGCAACCAACAAATTCACAGAATGTATGAAGATGAAAAAAGAAGTGATAAACAGCCAACAACCAAAATGAAAACAAAACCAGAGACATAATTCACAAGTTAAAATTAATGGATTTGTAGAAAAATAAAAGATTCTGACTAGAACTTACCTTTGCCCGCAAAAACAACTCAGGGTCATACTCACAACAGGTAAGTGACTTAGTCAGATTGCCCAAAACGGAGCTCTCACACCAGGCTGATAAAATAGCTTCAAGATCCGCAGCTTTTGATTTTTCTGATCTTACTGTATTTTGTATCCTGATCAGGCAGTTGTTTTACAAATGACTCAGCATGTAACAGCTTTTTGTGCAGGAACATGTCATGCGCTATTATTTCCAGTATGGCAGATTGGCACTGGTATCTGAATGACAAATCTTCAGCTTCTGTCTCAGTTATATTTTCAGGTGAAGGAGCTTCCACGTTAGAGGTTGTCGAAATAGAACTGGACAATTTTTTCCAGAAAATTTCAGAGCTTTTCAGGCATTCCAAAATATTAGTGCACTGACCAGCACCTTGCCACAGCGCCTTAGAAAGTTAAGAACATTCAGCAGCAATCGGGGATTGCTGCAGATTTAGAAAAAGAAAAAAAGGTTCAAACAACTGAAAAGTGACCATTCTGAAACATGACCGTATCAATCCCAGAAAAAAAAAAAAAAAAAAAGAAGCACAATTTCAGGACTGCAAGGTAAATGATGAAAGACAAACCAAATTGAGAATTCATTCAGGAAAAAGTACCAGTTGACAACGCTTGCCTTTCCAGACTCAAAATCATTTGTTGGCAGCTTCACACCACCACCATTACTCAGTTGGACATCCTTATTCACTTTGGTTGGTAATACAGCAACAAGAAAAGCAGGCTGCACGAATAAACAATTATATAAGAAACATCTAAACCAAACAGCGGAGGAAATTGTTATCAGAATAGATCACAAAACTTGAATGAAAGGTTTCAATATAACTACGTAAGTTTGCCTGGGGATGAAATGCATTAAAATTGCCACCATATGCACACAAATACAATGCAATTCAATTAACTAATTCTTTGGTTGGGCCAAATCACTCGAACACATTTTTTGTTTTTAAATTTTTGCAACAGAAATTTTTTCTTACTGATCAAGCGATAAAATTGCAAGTGGACAAGGCAGCATTCACTTCAAAGACACAGAGTATTGAAATTAGGGTAATCGATTGCTAAAACAGCCCCAAGCAAAACACAACTAATACACTGCTTGCCAATCTAATCAAATATTTGTGAACGATGAGCTCGTACGTAGGGCTGCAAGTTCGATTGGAAATTCCAATCTGAACCAAAAATTTCCGTTCCAAGTCCAAAAATTTCCAATTCCGAAAATTTTGGATGGCAATTGGAATTTACCTATCCAATCTGAAAGTCCGAAATTCCGATCTGAATTTTCTCAAACTTAGTACTATAAAAAAGCCATGCATATTCTTATTTTATCATGTTTATTGTTATATTTGGATATGCTTTATTTGGTATTTATATAATTAGAAATGAAGAGTAATCATATATACTATTTTATTTTATCTAATATGATTTTATCTCATAACACACATGCTGTCACATCCTCACCCGGGCCCCCACCACATCCGGGCTTAACTCCACCGTAGCACGATATTGTCCGCTTTGGGCCCCGACCACGCCCTCGCGGTTTTGTTTCTGGGAACTCACGCGAGAACTTCCCAGTGGGTCACCCATCCTGGGATTGCTCTCGCGCGAACTCGGTTAACTTCGGAGTTTCTATAGAACCCAAAGCCAGTGAGCTCCCAAAAGGCCTTGTGCTAGGTAGAGATGGGAATATACATATAAGGCTTACAGGATCCACTCCCCTGGGCAATGTGGGATGTCACACATGCAGCGGCCTACAAATATTGCAAAAATTCAGAAAAAATATTGAATGGTGGATACATAAAAGTTTGAAAATTTTCTAAGTCTTGCAAAATGCAAGAGATACGAATTATATTCCAAAAATTCCGAGATAAAATCAATTTTGAAATTTCTGATAAATTCCCATAATCCAAAATCCGAAATTGGAACTAATATTTGATTCCAACCCTTTTTGGAGTGGATTGGAATGCTTGTTTCCGATCGATCCGACCAAAAGCACCCCTACGGGCACATAAACACAGAATTTAAAAGTTATTTTTTTCTAAGAAATTGAAAAATGAGAAATTTTAAAGCATTAATCAAACAATTGTGAAGATAGCTTAAATTAAGCTGAAAGAACTGGACCTTAAGCATTCTTTCTTTTCTTTCATAAATCTATGAGTGATACTCCAACAAATAAAAAATACAGAACTTGAAACCTACTATAACAACCTGATGAAGTGCAGCAGAAGTGAGGAGATTGACTGTAGCAACAAAGAGATCTTCATTCAATTCCGACTGCTCAAGTAGTATGTAACTAATAGAATGCCTCAGCTCTCCAATCTACGACGGTTCAGTGATGCCACAAATCGATTTAGAAGCAGTTGATTCACTCAATTCAATTTACAAGAAATTAAGAACTAAAAGATAAGCATAAATCAACATTACCTGTTTATCATCCAGACCGAAGCTGCTACCAAACAAATACGGTTGCATAAAACCCTAGCAGCACCAACTTGTATTCCCTGCATTGAGAACTTGAGAATATTAATAAAGATGCTCAACAATTATAAGATTATTATCCCACTTACCACCAAGCAAACAATTAAGGTCAAGTCAACAAAGACACATTCCCCCATATTTATAGTCTGCCCAACCTTTTCATAATTAAATGCAAATAAGATATGCACAAAGCCATTACTATCCAGTAGGGCATTCCAGTTTGAAGGTAAAAAAGATTAGCATTACGCCTATCACGCCCAACTGTCTGAGTAACAAACCACTGAATGCAACTACAAGTTTCCTATGAATCCATGTGTTCTACAAAGTATATAAAACAGAAACAAATTGACATGCAACTCCTACATAACGATAATCACATAGATATGGAGATAAGTAAATGAGGAACTCTTCCAGCAGAAATAACAAAAAGAAAAAACAACATTATAATTTGATAATGTACAGGTAAATACACGGTTACCGAAATGGAAGAACAATATAACTATAGTATTTATATACGCAATGAAGAGAATGTAATCAATAACAATTGAGTACAGAGAAAGGCCATACAGGATTGCGAAAGTAAGATATCAAGGACACAAGCGCTGCAACAACAGGAATTGGTCTGGTAGCTGATGAGAAAACTGCTTGATGAAAAAATGGAGGACTGGAAGATATATCCTGAAAATAAACATAATTGAACATCAACTACGGACCTACTGTACAAAATAAAAATGAAACCATCATATTTCAAATAAAGAAAGATATCTATCACAGATGCATATAGTTGGCACATACACAGAATACTCTAGAAAATAGGTAAAAGAACACACAGGATTTCGTTGTACTGTTCACTGCTCATTTTACTTTTTAAAGCAAGCTAGAGGGTTGGTTTATTTTTTAAACTTGTACCGTACATCAAGAAAACTCACTTTTGGACAGAAACAGAACACTACATCTGCGCATCATCTACCATAATCCCAAAAAATTGTAACATGTGCGACTTTAAAAGTCTTTCAAACATAGCATGCAATCAAAACGTATATTCAACAAGCTTATTTCCAAATATCTTAGAAAATTTAGAGAGCATGATGAAAAGGATATCTAAAATGGAACATGTACCCATCTGTAAACCTTCAATCTCTGTTAGATCAACGAGCCGGCTGAAATAAAGTCTGCAGAAAAATGCTCTCAAATTAGTGATTAGAACAAAAACAACAGCAGGTCATTACCAAATAAGATTAAAAGATACATAACATAACCCACCTCCAGTGCTTGGTAGTTGTACAAACAATCCGAAAGAGATTACTATGGATGGACGAATCAGACAGTAACCTGTCCAGGATGACTTCATCCAACTTTTCAGAGCATGATACAGATGTAATAAATTTTTTCATCACTTCTAGCACCTGAACCAGTAAAATAATGTAAAAATTGACCCTCCCACCGTAATCGACATTTACAACGCAAAGTTTCATTTCAGAGACCTCAATAACTGAGTAAATAGAGTAGATTAACTAGCCCTGAGAAGCGACATTCAGGTGCAGAAAACAATGTTCAGTACCATGCATGCATGCATGCATGCATTGATGCACATTGCGGTTCCCTAACATGCACACATTGATGCAGACAAAATTTCAGATGTGAATTCTTTTACAAGCTTGGCTATTGGGCTCGTGTATCAGCTTAAAAATATGCTTTCAACTTGATTCTTTTATTCTTTTCTTTTCTTCGATAATAAACAGAATAACACTACTAGAATGAGGTGAAAATAGTACAACAGAGAACAAGTAATCCATTAAAGGTACACAAGTCCTATACCAGCTTGTTATCTACTTAACAGTTCTGGAAGATTATTCAAACTACGGAACAAAGGGAGAGAAAATCATTCAAATTTCTCCGGAAATTGAAATTCCAGCTCATTGGAAATTTGGAATGTAGGAGAGCAGAGATTGTTAATTGGCACATCATGGACAAATTATAACCAACTAAACATAGATACAGAAAGCCAAAAAGGAAGGTACCCAACCTAGTCATCCCCCTAAGAACCAATTCTTCCCCCATTCCCACAAGTAACCAAAGATCATGTAGAAAATAACTAACTTCGCTTGAAATATCATTCCAAGGACCTTAATTCAAACCTATAGCCACCACATTAAAGCTTCACATAGTGGCATCAATGCCAAATCGAACATGAATGGAAAAAGGCCAAAAAGATTATCTTCCCAATGGAAATCTTTACAACCACCTCCTAACTAAGCCCCCTTCCTATATAACTGTACTCTCATTCATTTTTATTTGAAAGGTATTTGAAAGACTCATGAGTCATATGCCTCATACTCTTTAACTGGTTAAGTTACATCAATTAAAAGAACAAATGCAGAAGGCATAAGAAAGACAAAAGGCTTCGCACTCATTAACCAAATATGTCACAGCATAACAAGGTACAACAAATAGGATATCAACTGCATGCAGGGCAAATGGAGTTGACCTCGTATGAACGAAAAAAAAAAAAAAGAAAAAAAAAAAAAGAAAAAGAAAAAATCCTTGATTTGCCAAATTTCTTGTCATTTCTATAAATCTAAAGGAATTTCATAATGATAAAATTACTCTCTTGTCATTTCTTGGCGTTTGATGGTTCAAGGCTGATATAGGGAGGCAATCCAATCAATAGGACCAGATCAGAATTTATGTTAGTTATACACAAACCAGAAGGCCGAACCCCATCAGTATTCATCAAGTTTGTTCCGTACTCGTAAAAAAACAGTGGAACTAACTTGTGTCAAAAATAATACCAGCACAAGAGAAACCAAATTATGTTAGTTGTACACAAACCAGAAGGCTGAACCCCATCAGTTTTCATCAAGGCTGTACCTTCAATGTTACTCTCCAACGGGTATGCTTCACCTTGTATTTCCAGTATTCATGGTTAACAAGAACATACTGAATGGAGAAAACAATTAAATCCAGGACAGCATCATTTTTTAATCCTGTCTCCATGAGATGTAGGGTAAAGTCCAGCACTGAAACGTTTTAAAATCATCCATGTCAAAGCAGAAAGCTAAGATATAAAAATAAAACAAAAAACAAATTAAAAAAAAAAATCCAGTACTTCCTATTGTATGTATCAACATATTTTAGTACAACACAAATCAAGATGGAACTAGATGATGTTACACCAGCAAAAGCACATAACATCAATGCAAGAATTAGCAAAACAGAAGATGGCAAAATGAATGATTTAACTTATACCTGATATAGTCAACGAGCAGCAACTATCATTCTGCTCACAGTCAATTAATAGCATCTTTGCCAGTTTCCCAGAAAGAAACCATGTTCCTCTAGAAACAAAAATAAAATAAACAAAGTGATAGAAAATATTAGAAAAAAAAAAGGAAAGTGCAAAGCCGAAGAAGTGCCATAAAGAGAAACAAATAACCAAGATAAATAACACCAAGAATTTACGTGGTTCGGCAATATGTGCCTACGTCCACGGGACAACAACAACAATCTTTCACCATGTCAGTAATGAGTACAACCAATAATCTTGCCAAATCTCTAGAACTAGGACTTGATGAAAAACCTGAAAGAACAAGAACAAGAAATACACTATCTTTTTTCTTTTCTCTTGCACACACTTTACAATATTCTCTCACTCTAATCCCTTGAGTGGTATACAATTTATTGTTTTGCTCCCCCCCCTCAAAACTAGTACAATAGCCCCTCTATATAGACATGATAAAGGTCTTCTTCAATAAGGATTACTAATCCTAATTGGAATCTAGTTATGAATCATTCTCCAATTGAGAAACTAACTCCAATTGGGAAAACAACTCCAATTGAGAAAACAATTTAATCCTCTAAGACTATTAATTCCCAATAGACTTAGGACAACTTATCATGGGGTGGAAAAAAACCCAACAATATATAGTGGGGAAAAAATGTCATATAAAAAAATTCTCTACACTGAAAGAAAACAAGAAATGAGAAACTTAAATAAAGCTCCACTTTAGATAATTGTATACCTCAATTAACTTAAAGGTAAGAATGTAAACCGCACATTTTTATGTATGCATGATAACAGCAGAACAAAGAAAGCTAGTCTTTTCTCAAAGGTATCACCTTGATGGATCATTGTGGCCATTGCTGAAACCAAATATATTTGCCTTTAAGGCCACCTCAGACACACGAGAAGGGGAACTGCCACAGTAAATGCATGTTAGAAAAACAGGTTGTGCTCAGGTCCGGCCTATGCCAAAAACAATACAAGCAATAATTATAGGCTAATATAACACTCTGAAATTCAAGATATATTATTTATCCACACAAAAAAAGTTCAAAATACATTGCATATAAGATTGGGCTGTTAAGGAAACAGAACTTTATTAATAATAAAATCAAAGCAAAATTACAAGCACAGCAAACAAGTCCACCAAAAAAAGAACAAACCTACAACAATGAGCCGTATCAAACATCAGAATCATAACATCAACTCTATAACAGATCAAAAGTAACTCACACCCAATACATAGCCAACAACACATTTCCAGTTGAAGACAGCTTTGAGTAACAGTTGCTAATCAATTGCATGCGACAAGGCTAAAAATTTATATTGAGATTAACTTAAAATTTTAAATATTTAGAATTGTTTGCATACAATGGACTAACAACTTATTCAGTGTATTACACTTGCATCTTATCAATAAATATTAATGTTTTTGTTTTAGTAGAAAATGCATTCCTGTGTGTCATCTGCATTTCCTCCTGGTGTAGAGGATATCAAAGGGGGAGGAGGAGGTTTGGATTGGAACTTGGGTGTGGAGTTAACGGCTCTCTACCACTGGAGCTACAAGTCCCCATCATATCCCTAGTTCTTTCAGTTTTACTTATTGCTATAATTTTACGAAATGAAGGCTTTAAATAATAGCATAAAGACTTCTGAAACTTTCAAAACTTAATTTCATAAGACCCTGATTAAAACGACACACAGATGCAGAAGAACTCAAAAGACAATAGGTGATAAAGTTACCATCTTAACATCTTTCCCAATATATTTATACCCACGGACATCAGAGCGGCACCGCCCGAAGTAGGAGATAATTTTCTGACCAAAGTGCAAATGATTTCAACCAACTTGGATGGTGAAACAAGAAGTGCCTATTACAAGACATGATAATATAGGCAAGAAAGAGGAAACACACAAGCACAAACAAAAAGGCTGCTTAATTACCGCATATTACTTTCTGTCTGCCCATTCATGCCAGTTGATTGGAAATGTGATGAGTTCCCAATGTCCATCAAAGCAAAACATACAGCCTAAATAAAACACCAAATTAAAACTTGGTAAAGTAGAGATGGTTACAGAGATGGTAAGAAATTAAGAGAGGAGAGGGGAGAGGGGAAGGAAACAAGGCAAGGTTAGGATCAATTACAGCTATACTATTCTCTCTCTACTCTAAACAGGACAAGAATTCAGAAGTTAGCGTTTTAACAGTGGAGGCTGATAAAATGTTATCATATTTATGGCAACCCAAGAGAAAACTATTTCAATATTCTGACTGCATGCATCCACATTTATTTAAAACAACTTAATGAAGATTATTATCAAATGCTTTAAAATGCGAAAGCATTGACAAGGCCTTAACCTTGACACGTTGAGGCATAACCCTTTGAAAACCTGAACTATAATAACAAAAATATAAAATAAATTACCAACTGTCATTCAACCATTAAACATATAATTCAACCAGACCATCAAACTTGAATAGGAAATCCAAACAAGCATAATCAAAAGGCAATTCCAATAAGGGAAAATCCAATTCACTCATTCTAGTCCTCTTTGTCATCATTACAACGATCACCATGCAAAGTACCACCAAGTTATTGGAGTAAAAAGGCAGTTTCTGAAGCTTTTACTGTTAGTACCTTAAAATGTCATTTTATCCCAAAAGGCGTAAACCTTGATGAAAAGTGTATGCCTCAGCCAATTAGCATATGCCAAATCGAATAAATGCTAAAAAAAGGATGAAAACCATAAAGACTCCAGCAATTAATGATGAAAACCATACTGTGTTAAAGGTAACCATCCGGCTAAATAGGTCAAGAATAAGAAGAGCCTTGTCATTTCTGTCAAAATACAGCTCCTGAGACAGGTGCACGAGCAATGCTAGCACCCCAGATTGTGTATACTGTACAAAATAGGCATGAATTAGCACAAAACAGCAACCAAATTGAAAATACAATTGCATATCTTCTATTACTCTCCTTGAATATACTGTTTCACAACCCACTAAGTAAGACTAAATGTAACCCATTATCTCCGAAAAAAATCTTGTCATTGCTAATGATTTTAAGAATTACTCTCTTTCTCACATACTGTGGGATATGTTAGCAGTTGTAAAGTGATTTTGGTTGAGGTTTTCCTACTTGTAATCAGATCCTCTTGAGAGATTTTCTTGTTCTGTTCTTGGTGGATTTCTTATCCACTTCTGTGTATTTCACTTTTCTTTTTTAATAAACTGTTATAGTTTCTTCTCAAAAAAAAAAAAATGTAGAAAGTGAAGGAAGATGAAATAAAAAACGATATTGAAGGAAGATAATTTAGGAAATAAAATTTTGATGCCGCACATGTAGTGCGTATAATTGGGAAATAAAAACTTAAGACAAAATTTAACCCTTTGAGGATAGGTAATAACTTTTCACATGATAATTCCTGAAAATGCCTCTTCAATTTTCGACCTACATTAGAAAGAGTATTTCACAAAACTTTGAAGAGGAAGGAGAAAAACAACACAGCGATAAATGCACTAACATTGGAAAATGCTCTTTAAAGTATAACCTAATACCTGTGCACTTACAAGCAGTTGAAAGTCTAGTGATATTTCTCAAGAATATACAAAATTCACCAATACAAAGCAATTATCAATGTTAGTTAAAGTAATTGGCCATTTACCTCCCATCGTACAAGAGCGGTATTTCCACTAACTAATCTTAAAATACGTCCACAGGTTTTACTGGGAATGACCAGACCTTCAAATCCAGGAACATGCAACGGGAGTTGCGTCTCCACAATTTGAGACCTATCCTCCCCAAGGGAGCCATTAATCTCAACCAGGGATGATATACCCACAGACTTATCCAAAAAGTTATACCTGTTGACAGGATGATTACACAACAATAAGAGAACAACATAATAATTAATCGTTTAGATAAACGAATATAATTAATTGTTACAAAAATTCTTAGTATTATAAGTTCAAGTAATAAAGAAAATACTTCCCGAATGAGGATTTCAATAACCAAATTAAAGTTTAATCCTACACCCATATAGTGATCAGGTCTACAACTCATTTTGTTTATCAAAAACCAGAATTTGAACGACCATGCCAAATAATTCTACTCACACTCATTCTGCAGGCCAAGTTCCTTCACAAAGTGATGATAAAAGACGAACTAGTTCCACAGTCCTGAAAGGAAATTCACCCTCTAAGTTGCAAAGAAGACACCGGATAGGGCCATCAATAAAACTTTCACGATCCCAAAACTGGATACAAAGTGACTCCTGCAAAATTCAGATGAACTGCAATTTAGAAATGAGTAACAATTACACTATTCAAACAAAAATCGAATTTGAACTTTATAATTATAAAATATTTATATTTGAAGTCACAGATGCTGAAAGATAATAAGTGTCCAAACCTCTCCCTGATAAATTTTGCAAAGAATATCCAGTAACAACTTCAGAGATTTATCTTCCAGCTGCACAAAACAAGGACAGAAAAAATAAGAAATACATCTAAAAAAATGCTAACAAGGTTTAAGCAGAGGTCCATTATGCATTTACCTTAAGACTGATATCATAAGAGGCAATAAATGCAGATACAAAAGTTCTCAACACACTACGGTAGCCGTCAGCAGGCCCCTAAAGAAAACAAAACACAAAAATGATCACTCTTTAGGAAATGAAAAGACCGAGGGAAGAGATGCAAAACTCGTTAACACCTCAAGATGGATCCCAAGAGACGAAAAAAACAAGCAGAAAACCTGAACATATGGGGCACCCCTAGAAACTGATCACTCTAAACACATACACTAACAAATTGAGAATAACTTACATCTGGTTCCTTCAACACATCACTTTGAAGGATTTCAACACAATAATTCAACGATGCAGTTTGCATTTTAATAAATAAAAAGAAAGTTACCCAGCACAAATTAGCTTATGTATATCCATAGTTGCCTTCATGGCATTTTAAAATTGCAAATAAGATTATCCTATGGTCCTCCGATTGCAAACCTAAAAATATAGATTGTCCTGAATTCCCAGTCACAGTAGCATCACAGGCTTGGCTAAAAGCATGCTTATAGATCAGATAGTAGTGAAGGTTCACTTAAATCGGGATTCTGTAGTTTGGGTATGGAAATGTTCAACCTAGTAATGGATCAGTGATTCTTATTTATATAAAAGTATCAATCATATTGCATTCACATGAAAAAAATGATAATAAAAGAGCAAAATCGTATGTTCTTGGTTTTCATAGTTAGCAGAATTTTCTGACCCAATAGAAACCAATACTTAAATCCACCTTTGTTATTTTAACTCGGTCCTGTCTAAATTACAACACCATGTCTTAAAGATGAGGCAAACTAAAGGCATGGGGCATCTGCCTTACAAGTGGATTCCACCTCAGGACAGTTCATCCCTTGGTCTCCGCCAAAAGGAATCTTCATTGAGTAATGACATAAGCCAAAAAATATTGCACTGTACTGGTGCAACAAATGTGAACTCCACAATTTAGATATTTAATGCAAAAATCAACAATTTGACCAAAGATATTTACTGTCACTAGATCATGACTTGCAGAGTAAATACATAGATGCATCCTAACTGGCTAAGAACCTGAAAGGGATTGCATCATGAACCATCTGGAGAAGACTTTCCAGGTCCAGGGTTTCTATAAGGATTAGAAGCAGCTGGACTTTAGTTTGATAAGAAGAACGTAGTGCTTCAGTTGATACTGCCAGCTTTTCAAAGTTATAAGACCCAGATAAAATTCCCTGCAGGAAAAATGTATTGAGCTTGGACTGGATAAGAAAGTACTTCATAAATGAATTCTGTGACGAAGATAACAAAATACCTTATAGAGCAAGCACAAAGTTTTCCACCTTTCACCATTAAAAGTACAAAATGACTCATAATAAGCAAGGAAAAGAATGTCCAAAACCAAATTGTCTTCAATTAGTGTCTCCTCAGCCCACAAAGTGAAAAGGTCAATATCCTAATAAAGCAACCAGACAAGATAACATCAGGTTTTGTAACAAATACATAATTATTCAATCCCAAAAAATGCGCATGTAGACGTGTACACATATGTCGAGACGCGTATTTGTACATGGGCATCAACGTAATTTCAAATATAAATAGGTAACTTAAGATTGTCAAGTATGATAGGATTGTCCAACTTGTTGAAGCTAAAATTTGTTTCACCTCTCTGTCCTACAGCCTCGCATGAATGTAAGACAGGGACAACTAAATAGATGTTCCCCACCCAAATACATGTTTCTTAGGCTACAGCATCACATGCGAGCAGAGACTTGATAGATGTTAATAACTGGCTTTGAACTTCTCCCAACTGTTGTCATAGCAATGACTCCCACAGTCCAATTAGGTCACTACAACCTCAGTTTTACTTAACATAACCTCCTTCAACACACTATCTCAAATAACAATATGAAAACCTAGTAAATAATAAAATACCAAAGAGTTACTTTGTCCATTGTGTCCTATCCCCCACTACTGACATTGCAGCCAAAGATGGTCAACCATGCAGTAAGATGTAATTTCTACGTCAATGAACTTCATAATTTGGCATAGCACATCCCATAAAAACGAAAAGATCAAAAGGGCGCCTGAAGCGGGGAAAACAACCTAATTGCTCCACTAGGGAGTAGGGATTTATAAACTTAAGGGGTAATATCATATTTTCCATCTAGTTTAGAAGACTCAAAATCCAACAAAGTCCATTCTTGAATTGGGATTTATGCATACCAATTGTTCAGGGTGATCGGAGTAGAAAAGGACTTGCAGCACATTTATCAGCTTCACCTCCATTCCGTCAGAAATCAACTTTAGTACTTCCTCCTTAATAGCATTAGCTTCGCCAGAGACGCTTCCAAAAGACACTGTATTAATGACCAATTCTCAAACATTTGTTGAAGTTCAGCTCTAAAATGTATCCACGATGCCATAGAAAGTTTAAATGGAGGGTGGGATTGATGATTGACTTACAAGCATGTGTGAGAATACTCCTCATGCACTTCAGCAGGCACTGGCGTTCAACGTAATAGTGAATAATCACCTGCATGAGGGAAGAGAAGGGGGAAAACAGAAACAAATTAAGTGTGACAGACCACTAGCTATAAATGTCCCTCTTCTTTTTTCTTTCCCTTTTGTGGTAAAAAAATGTCTGATTTATGTAAGCAGCAAAAAATTTCGTTTACACTGTGCTCATCCAACCCTTACACCAAGTACTTAGAACATAGGAACCATTATAGCATCCAACACTCATATCAGCCAGGCAATGAGAGAGATACTAACCGCATGAAAATACTCGTGCAGTATAGAGTCAAGAGCTACATCTTTGTTCTCAAGAGACCTTTCAACAAGAATGTACGATTGCACCTCATCCAGACATTGAGACAAACAACAAAATAAGTTTCGTAGCAAATGGAGAATCAATGACCTTCATTATGTTATACAGAATATCATTATCTATCTGCTTCCAACAACATGAGAACATGTAATTAAATCAGCCAAGCAGCACCCAGTTGTTGAAATTTTGCATGTGGATCATTCCAAGCTCAGAAAAAAGTCCCATTATAACCGATTTCATTATTCCTAAAACTGCTTGATTAGTTCTACAAGTCAGTAATTGAGACTCCAAAACGAAATCAAAGTTCTCGCAGAGCCTGAATGCCAAAAACAAAAACTTTTACACTAGGACAAAGTTCAAATTCGGAATTTTAGTTGATTTGAAAATCCAAAATGTATGTATATATATACACCAGATGCACACACATTTTAGAAGTACAAGTGGCATAAAAGCAGCAGTACAAACTCACCAAATAGGAGCTGATTTTCAAAGCTTTATCTTCAATTCAGGCTTTAGATTCAACTGATGAGACCCAATTTTCACTTGCTGTGAATTCAAGGCCTCCCCCGAATTCTCATTGGGCGGCTTGAAGCAAGACACTGTGTCCACGAACCATGCATGATTGTCCTTCAATGTGTTTACCTTAGCAAAATACCAATCAAGTTCATAAATTTTCATACATTTTTATTCATATATATATATATATATAGAGAGAGAGAGAGAGAGAGAGAGAGAGAGATGGGGGTTTACCAGAATGGGAGGGAGGTCGGACGACAGAGAGGCATTTTCGAGCTCGGTGAGTAAGAGAGAGAAAGAGTAGTCCCACCAGAGGGAGGCGTCGACGGGCTTAGTGCTTGCCATTGACGGAGCTTCGAAGCTCAGAGAGGGTGAACTTAAAACGGGGCGTTTGTTTGCCCTCACTAAGTCGGACTGGACTGGACTGGACTAGCTATTAGTCCAATACTGTGTTTGTTCCATACTGGGACTAACATTAATGAGACTAAAGGGGACTAGTATGGACAAAACCCTTCACTAAGAGGTCTTAGTGAGACCCCCAATAACCATGGGACTAGCTAAGACTGTCCTCTATTTCTCGTCCTTGTCATGCTCAACGACCACTCCCGATAGACTCTTCGTCATCTCCGATCACCTAGATCAATCATTAATTTTTCGACTCTCTTTCAGATCCATTTCACAACCAACTTTCATATAAAATATACCAAATTGAAGCTGGGAGTGACAAGATTACGATTTTACTTGAATTGAGGCCAAAATGTGGTCGAATGTGGCCGGAAAATGGCCTGGAAGTCTTGGCTTGCTGGGCTTCTTCAAATCCATGACAGATTCGAGCATGCAAAGCTAAGATCTCGGTCCAGGGATGGTGATGAATTTTTTGGCGGTGCTAACTTCATCCAATTTAATGAGGGTTGGCCAAAAAACACATCGGGAAACTTGCAACTCGTCGGGAAAATTGGAGCCGTGAGGTTACGTTCGAACAACGCAAAGCTAGAGAGGGAGGGAGGACAGAGAAATAGAGACTGGAATCAATAAGGAGTTTGATCAGGAATGAGAAAGAGACATGAATTGAGAGGTCTGAGAGGAAAAAAAGAGGGAAAGGGTGGGACGATGAGAGAAGAGGAAAAGAGTGGGACGGAAATGGTAGGAAAAGATGGAGAAAAAGATAAGATCATAATAAAATATTAATAATTTATATATTAAATAAAATAATATTAGAATTTGTTATTATCCAGCTTCTTAGTCCAATACTGCACCAAAAGCTTCACTAAGTTAGTCCAGTTTAGTCTAGTCTAAGCCAGTCCAGCTTAGTCCTTGAAGCTAATCCAGTCCGAGATAGTCCGGCGCAACAAACGCCCCCTAGAAGAAGAGGGTTTTTCAGTTTCAGAATCAGAAACCCAGATTATTTTGTGATTTTTTATTCTTTTTCGCGCTTCAAAGAAACTGTATCTGCGAATATTTGGACTTGAAAACTTTAGTTTAGTTGGGTCAGAAGCGATGAAGAATTATACTTTCGATTGGGCTCAGGTTTGGGCTTGGTGCGGGTATCTGCTGGGTTTTTGAATGTCAGCTTTAGGGGCCTTCAAAATCATCCGGCCATTTCTAATGGAAAGGGTTAAAGATCAAAAAATTAAAAAATAATAAAAAAAAACGTAATTGAAAGAAATCTGAATCTCCTTTTAGAATAAAATGAAATCAACCTCCTGATAGGAAAAAAAAAATCAAGACAATTATGAACTAAAATATAATTCCACAGAAACCCTCACTTTTCTAGTGTGATCCCCAATATGATATAGGATGGTAATAAAAAAACAAAATGGAAAATAACACAAATGGGCCATTTCCTTAATCTTAGGTCCGAAATTCGATTTTTGGGATATGTACAGCTGGCACACGACATGCATAACAATATGACAGGAATAGGATTTTCTTAAAACTTGAAATGATCAAATTGCCCTCCAATATAAATGGGTTATTTCATCCAACCCAGTCAGCATTTACTCTGTTCTTGTTTGAAAACCACAACCCCCCAACTCGACGAACCCCTTACCTGAAAAGCATAACCGATTTTCCAACCGACGACAAGATTTGAAATCCTTGTCCAATTTTTCGACCCATTTTCTAGCATTTACTCTTTGTCTAAAAATCTCTCTTGCCCAACCCCCAGCTCGAACAACTCTAACAGTCAAACGGTGTGACCCAAATCTTGTCCAATTTTCCGACCAACGCCAACTTTACAGTCTTTTTTTTTTTATAAGTTTCATGGCCAAGGCGAGTTTGGTATCTATGGATTCAAACAATAGTAATGGCAAGATAAAAAAAGAATATATATTTTGAATTGAATTTTCATTATTTGAACTTAGCTTTTCCTAGTTTGGAAATTTAAGATGCGTTTGTTGCATCGGATTATCTTGGACTACACTAGCTTCAAAGACTAAGCTGGACTGGCTTGTCTTGGACTTAGTAGGACAAGAATAGTGAAGTGTTTGGTTTAGTGCCAAACTAAACTACAGATTAAATTTTTTTTTTCAAGACCCACGCTATTTTTTTTATATTTTAAATTATTAAAATAATAAATTAAATATTATATTAGAAAATATCTTCTGCCATTATTTTTTAGAAGATAATGGATTGCTCTGGAAGCAGCTACTTCCCTTTTTCTCTCTTAGTACAATTGCTTCCCATTTCCCTTTCTCTCATGACTTTGCAGACAACATAACTCGCCCTCTTCACTTTCTCTCACACCTTCACTTCCTCTTTCTCCTTCTTAGTGTAGAGGTATTAGTGCTCATCCCACTCGTCGTCGACAAAAGCTCCCTCTCTCACAGCCAAGCAAATGAACAAGTCACACAATTAGCAGAACCCATGAGCGATTTGGATTCTAGTGGTACTGGAACGATTGATGTGCAACTCATGGAACGATTGGGTTTCAAACGTAGTGATTTTATAATTTTTTTTGTTTGTTTTTTGTTTCAAATTCTAGGTTGGATTTTTGAAAATGGGTTTCGAATTCTGGGTTGAATTATAGGTTTTAGATTCCGCTATATGGTTTTGAAAATGGTTGAGCAAGTGAGGAAGAAGGAGATGGAAGAGGCGAAATGGGGAGAGACAAAGCGGAGCTGATTGGTCTTAGTAGTTCGTCCAATTTTGGGGGGTCTCACTAAGACCCTTTAGCAAACTCGTTAGTCCATATGAGTCCCACTTTGTCCTACTAAAGTTAGTCCCCACGGGAATCAAACACAGGATTACACAAACACTTAATTTAGTCTAGTCGAGTCCCACTTAGTGAAGGCAAACAAACGCCCCCTTAGGGTTTTGGCTGCGATTGACTATTTTGTACAATTAATTTGAGGAAAATTAACGGATTAACTTTAGGGTTATGGAATTGCATGTGTTTTGAATTTAATTTTTTTCATGGTTTGTTCAATCTTCATTTATGCATACTGTGTACATATTTTGTGCATGTGCTTTTGATATTGCTGGAAATTAATTGATTGAATTTGGTTCATGAATTGGTACATATTTTGTGCATGTGTAGATGTTAGGCATACTTGCTTGAATTTGGTTCATGAATGGGTTGAATTTGAGCATATAATGTGCATATACTATGCATATCATGTGTGCATGTTTATGTTATTAATTTCATGTGCGTATAAGACTTATGTTTGTCATTGTTGGATTCAAAGGCTCTGCTGAAAATCTTGCAGGTCGAAAGTCAAATCGTCTCCTTTGTCAGAACTTGTGTGCCCGTCGGATGAGTTATTTCTTGCTACTATCTCTCGTGTTATCATACACCTCAGGGTGTCTGTGTAATATAAAAGGCTAATTTTCAAAAGATCAACTCAAGAAATTCGAGGATTCTTGTTTTGGCCATTTGGTTGACGTGGACTGCATTGACTGGTTTGACCAGCTTAACCACTATGTTATCCTTAAGGCTATTAAGGATATTGTGATCGATGATTATCCTTCATGTTTAAGGAAGATGTCACGACTTTCAAAAGTTCCGAATTTTATTTGATCAACAGACTAAAGTTCGGAGAATTCCCCCCCAAACAAAAGGATAATGAATGTCGTATTAGAAAGATGTATTTCAGGGTAAAGAAGAAGATAACCCTAAAACAATTGGAGGAATAATTCAACGAATGCCAAAATGATGACGATTTGTACAAGCTGGGCCTACTGTACTTCATCCAAAACAATTGGAAGGCTAATTCAACGAGTGCCAAAATGAAGACGAGTTATACAAGCTGGGCCTACTGTACTTCGTCCACTTTATTGTTTTGGGGAAGGAAAATGACTCATCCATTGACTACCATCTGCTTGAGTTGGTAGACAATGAAGAAAAATGAGGTGACCTATCATTGGGGTGCGGCGTCCTTCCAATTGTTGATGTCAATCATGACCACTGCTGCTTTAACCAATACAACATTCTAAAAGAAAAAAAGTAGAGAAATCGGGGGCTGGTATCCAGGATTCCTATAACCTGAAGGGATTTTTGTATGCATTCTAGGTAATTTCTTTTTCC